TTTAGAAGTAAATTTATTTACTGCGTGCTGCAGATGTTTGACTCGTAATGTTACGGCACCTGAGTCTGAAGTCCTGCTGCCATTGGCCAGATCGAGCCGGTTCTCTTCCAGTCATCCTCGTTGTTGCTCCTGCGACAAAAACAATGAGTGGACATGACAGCAGCACGGTAACAGAATTACAGGGATTTATAACTATTACTTTAACAAATTTGTGCCCAATAATGGGTTTTATTTCTGTATCGCAATCGCAAACGAATCTTCTAAGTGAACCGGTTGCATCATTTGAAACGATTCGCGTCTTCAGTAAGCACTTATCTGACTTACTTTATAACAAGCCTAATACCCACCTCTGACTCGAAATAATCCAATATTTATTCTTATTCAGTTATTAGAACAGTAACGTTACACAGATTATATTTGAGAAGCGATGAACCGATAGCACTGTGCATGTGTAATACAGTGAACCAAACACAAACAGTACATGACAGGCTGCTGTGACTGAATTAAACTTGAACAACAGCAGCACTGGTAAACCGAGGGCTTAAATGACAGGATCTAGTGAAAAACGTTTATTTCATAACAGAGAATAGTAATAGAATTTAAATAAGGGAATCATGCTTCAGTTGGGTTGCAAAACTTTACTGTAAGACATTTTTCAGATCATAGTGCTGTTTTAACTGACTGAAATTATTATTGCTGACTACATAATTTTGGCATGTTGAGTCCAAACATCAGCGTTAAATATCTGAACTTCCCATTACTACTGTGTATTTAACCTCCGAAGCAGCCTTGCATTGTACTTAAGGCTGCTACTGTATCTTGGGGTTGTATTTGAATTAGAGGATGGGTAGATATTAGTGGTAGATGATAGTGTTCATGTATCCTTTAAATACAGGTTTCAAAAAATGTATGGCTGAGTTTTTTTAATTTATTCGACTTATTTTGAATCTTGATTCAATATGCTGATTTAGAAAAAAAAACTAAAACTAATACTGAAACTAATAAAAAACTAAACGAAAACTAAATAATTTCGAAATATTGAAACTAATAAAAACTAGTAAATCTCCATCTAAAACTAATTAAAACGAACTGAATTTGAAAACAAAAAGTCAAAATGAAATAAAAACCAAAACTAATCAAAAATCCAAAACTATTATAACCTTGCTGGACTGACTGTGTTCATTGTGGCAGTGCATGAACCGAACCATGACGATACAAAATACAAATACCATTGCAGTCCTAGTATAAACGTATTGTTTTTCCTGTCATTTAAGATGACCAATGACCATGTACAGTGGCGGAAATAAGCATTGAACACGTCACTTTTTTTTCTCAGAAACAATATTTCTAAAGGTGCTGCTGAGTTGAAATTTGAACCGAATGTTGGTAACAACCATTGAAAACAATATATGCAAAGAAAACAAAACTAATAAGTTTACAAGTTAAGTTATGTGTAATAGAATGAAATATCGCAGTGAAAAAGTATTGAACACATGAAGAAAAGGAGGTGTAGAAAGGCAGTGAAAGCCCAGACAGCATCTGACATCTCTCAGTTGTTCTTCAGCAATCATCTGCCCTTCATCAGTGTAAATTATTATCAGCTGCTTCACTCCAACATCTACATTAGCAGAAGGATGAAGATGAAACCAGGGAGGACATTTCAGCAAGACAATGATCCAAAACACAGCCAAGGAAACTCTCAAATGCTTTTAGAAAAAGAAAATTAAGCTGTAGAATGGCCCAGCCAATCACCTGACTTGAACCCAATAGAAAATAAAGCTCAGATTTGATAGACAGAAAAAAATGCAGTGATTAGCAAAGTGGTTTGGGACAAAAATATGATATATAATGAAATATCAAGCCATGTGCTTTGTAAATGCAGACTAGTAGATTCCTATTTTAGATTTTGTGACAACATTCTCGGCAACACATTCATGGCCTCAAATTATTTGTGAAGTGCTCTTGCAGTGACCTATAAATCTTGTAATCTTTTTAATCTCCTAGTGTACAAAGCTATTCTTGTTATGGTGGTTTTTAGGAGACATTGCTCAGACATTACACATCTTTAGAGCACCCTGTGTTAACCGTGTGTGTGTGTGTGTCATTGCCTGAGAATTTTCTATATTTTAAAATACAGAATGTAGATGCATTTACAGAGATGCATTTAAAGTGTATTTAAAGGGATAGTTCACCCAAAACTGAACATTCTGTCATCATTTACTCTCCCTTCACTTGTTCAAATCCTGTTTGAGTTTCTTCATTCTGTTAAACAAAAAAACAAGACATTTTGAAGAAAGTCTGTTAAAATTTTGAGTCGATAATGGTGTCAAGCTATTTATCCCAATTGCGAGACAAAGAGGGGGTTGTTGCTTGGTGATTTCCAAAAATCAAATATATATTTTTTAAACTATTAGTATCACCATATTTTACGCACAACCTACTAAACATACAAAAATTGTAGTTAATACTTACATTTAAAAACAACTGCATGCAAATAAAAAGCCATCCGTTTCAGTATTGACTATTCCGACAGTTCAGTACTTGTTATAACACATAACATTAACACTTTATCATTACCACACACTATGAATCTTTTATTAAGCATTACCATATTAAGCATTAAGCATTAACTCTAAATTAATAGATGTTAGTAAGTAGTTTATAACTGCAGATACAAATGCTCTATTCTTGACTTTAAAACACATTTAAAATGTGCTTAATAATTGTACCTTAATTCTTTGTGACTGAATAAATTTTCATTACTAAGTTCTAGGGGTGTCACGATTTAGATTTTTAATTGAAATCGGTCGAAATTTATGCTCAATTTCGATTATCGAATCAAAAAATAGAATCGTCGATGCTGCCACGCCCCCATGTCACGTCAGCTTGGCTTGCCAAGCGGGAAAAAAACAGGCTTGTTGAAGTGCTTGTTAAACTGCAGAAGCAGGAGACCCGTCGACAGAACTTAAACCCTCTCCTCTTTCAATGAAGTCGCCGGTGTGTAAGCATTTTGGATTTCCAGTGAGTTATGTTGGCAACGTTCGTGTTGTCGACAAAAAAAAAAAACACAGTTTTGCAAGCTCTGCTATGTAGGTATTACGTACGGTTCGTCTGATAGACAACACCGGCATCGTGATCCTCCGCCTGCCCCTGTTGCAAATCTGCTCGCGAAAAGTACACACTCAGGCCCTGTTTACACTGTCTTTGTTTAAATGGCATTTTAGAACGACAACGATTTGACATCCACAGTGGCGTGTAGCATTTCTGAGCAGCCCTCCTTCCTCTCTACCTCTGAAAATGCACATCACATGATCACAAAGACACAGACGCACACACAGCCATGCGCTCGAGACAGCAGGTCCAGGCAGTCAGAGGACTGCTTCAATCTTTCACTCACTTGTACTTAGTCATTTTAGCGAACACTTCAGATACTGTTGGCTGGTTCCTGTTGGTTGTGCGTCTTTTTTTACCGACGCCATTATAACGACACAGATCACTGCCTATTCACGAGTCCCGCAGAAAAAGTGATTGACAGGTGGTAATTATATTTGTATCTTGCCTTTATTCATTTACTGTATGATTTGTTTATGGGTAAAACAAAGACCATGCAGGTCAGGTAGTTTAAACGGTAGGCTACGAATAATTAATTGTTCAATAATTAATTATTCATAATCGAAAATCGAATCGTGCCTTTAGAATCGAAAATGTAATCGAATCGAGGATTTGGAGGATCGTGACACCCTTACTAAATTCAGTTACGCATTATTTACAAACCTTTTGTGTTTCGGAGTATTTTTTTATCTTTTATTTTTAGATCATTCAGCCTGAGTTAGTAAATGATTAATGAACTATTGAAATCAACATTTATATATCTCATTCTGGCATATAATGACAGTTACTATTCAATGCTTTTTTAACTCAGTTTTATGCAGTTTTGTGACCTAAAGCGAAGACCATTTATGCTTTATAAATCTCTTATAAATTACAGTTAAAGGCTCAGTATTAAATGGACATTAAATCTAGGAAATCTTATTTAAAAAATAAAATAGCTGTAAAGTTTAACCATTGCTGAATAACAGGAGTGTCATAAAATTGAACATAAAACTGGATAAAACAACAACAACAATATAATAATTCAACAATATAATATGATACAACATTTCAGTGTCATTTAGCAATGTTTGAACTGCACAGTAATTTTATTTTAGATAGTTGCAAAGATTTGTTTTTCATTTAGTTTGTGTGTCTTCAAATAAATAGAAATTAATAAAGTCGTTTAATTTCTTTTTTCCTGTTTAGAATAAAACTGAGCGTTTAATTGTCATTTATAAGGGATTTGTAAATCATAAAAAGTCCTTACTTTAGGTCGCAAAACTGGATGAAGTGGAGTCAATAAAGCATTTATTAACATACAAATTCACTATTAATATATGCCCGAATAATAAGAATTATAGATGTTCATTTGAATAGTTTATTAATCATTTACTAACTCATTCTGAATGATTTTTAAAAACCACCAACTATTCTTAAAAAAACTTGTTTGTAAATAATGCAGTACTTAATTTAGTTATGCAAAATAATAAAATAACAAAATTTGAAAATACAATCATCAAGCACATTTATAATATATGTATATATTTATAAAATATGCTCTTTGTAAAGTCAAATTAAAACAACCTCAGTTTTTCGCAATATGATGGTGACACAATGTTTTATTTAGGGTGGACTTTCCGTTTAAGGAAATGCTGACTTTGCACAATTGTATTATGGGCATTACCATCTATCCTTTGCATCATGAATATAAAATCGCTTTCCTTTTTTAACCACAAATGCATGATTTACCTTGTCTGGAAACTTCAAATGTCTCTTTTACGAAACTTGTATATTTATTCATACATTTCGTTGTTTTCCAGATCATAAATGCGAAAAAGTTGTGTAGAAAGAGTGAGTTTGTGTCTGTAGTTTTCTCTCATCGCTCCTGTGCCTGTGTGTTTCCTCAGGAAGATCTGTGTGCACTGTAAGTGTGTGCGTGAGGAGCATGTGGTGCGCTCGGTGCCCGGCCAGCTGGAGAGAATGATGATGAAGCTGGTGTCCGACTTCCAGAGGCACTCCATATCAGACGACGACTCGGGCTGCGCCTCTGAAGAGTACGCCTGGGTGCCGCCCGGGATCAAGCCTGAGCAGGTGACCAACAACAGTCTGTAGATACGCTGACATATAATGATATAAGTCATATATCATATATATATATATATATATATATATATATATATATATATATATATATATATATATATATATATATATATATATATATATATATATTTCCCCAATTTGTGCTGATAATCCAAAACACACCAACAAGTCCACTTCTGAACGGCTGAAGAAACACAAAATTAAGAATTTGAAGTGGCCTAGCCAAAGTCCTGACCTGAATGGAATTAAGATCCTGTGACTAAAATACAACAATTCTGCCAAGATGAGTGGGCCAAAGTTCCATCACAGCGCTGTAACAGACTTATTGCAAGTTGTTAAAAGCACTTGATTGCAGTTTTTGCTGCTACATGTGGCCCTAACAGTTATAGGGCTCTATTTTGACGGTCCAAACGCAGGGCGCAAACGCTTTTAGGGTGTTTTTTCTCATTTAAGGAACGGGAAAACCTGCTTTGCGCCGTAGCGCATGGTCTAAAAGGGTTGAGTTTATTCTCTTAATGAGTTATTGGTGTGTTTTGAGAATAAACCAATCAGAGTCTCATCTCCCATTCCCTTTAAGAGCCAGTTGCGTCGCGCCAAGAGCGCATTCGCTATTTACAGGACGCAAAGTAAGTCTAAGTGGAAAAAATGAGCATTTCACTAGCAAACAGTTCACAATTGACAGTTTTTTAACACAAAACTGTTAAACAGAGCATCTACTGCGTGAGAATGAGAGAAAATGGATCACTTTCGCTCTTGGATAGGGAAACCTATACGCACAGACATCAATTAGTCTATAAATAAATACTTTTGTTTGTTAAGCGCAAAGATTCGTTTCAAAACTATTTCTAAATTCAGTTATAATTTCCAGCAAACGAAAAAATGAACAATAATAACAAAATGTGCTCAAAAACCTGAGTTATATCCTAAAACACATGCTGTGCCCCATATGGTCTAAAACCTGACAGGTGGGCAAATCTAAGCTTGTTTTTAATAAAACAAATATAAATATGGATATAATAAATAATACTGCTAATAATAATAACATTATACAAAAGCAAATTGTTATGAATGAACTGAAAAAGCCTCCCGAGATGAAGAAGACATAAAAGCAGTGATTTTTCATATTTATGTAGGCTAGAAAATAATATGTTTTGTAATATTTTAATCCTTTATATTTATATCCTATATCTATTCTTATTATATCCTATATATATCCTTAATATTTACATTTGTTCATATGTAAAGATATTTCTCTATTGCTCTCTTGTGCGTATTAAGCAGTGTGTAAGCGAGGCGCAACTCTGCGCCGGAGTTTAGACCGGGTTAGTTTTGGTCTAATGAAAAATCTATTATAGTTTCTCAAAATAGCGACGCGCCAGCGGTCCACCTCAGAACGCCTTTTTTGACCAAAACGCCTATGGGCGCACAAATGAGCGCTAATGCATTTGCTATTTAAACAGCCTAGCGCAACGCCTCATAACGACTCTTGCGCCAAGCTGAAACTACCAAAAGACTACTGCGCCGCGTCTTGCGCCACACTGCGCCGGGTGTATGATAGGGCCCATAATGTTTAGGGGGCAAACTCTTTTTTACAAAGGGCTATGAGTGTTGGATTTTAATAATGAAAACCTTCATTTCAAATCGGGATGATGTGTTTATCTTGTGTAACCCTCTGCGCTCTTGTATGTCCAGGTTTATCAGTACTACAGCTGTATTCCTGAGGACAAGGTTCCCTACGTCAACAGTCCAGGAGAGCGATATCGTATCAAGCAGCTTTTGCACCAGCTGCCGGCCCATGACAGTGAGGTGAAACCCCTTACGTCCTTACACTCATGCTCTTCATGAGAACCACAAACTCAAAGACATCTTCATTGAGAATTAGATAAAAGCATGAACCCTACAAACATCACGTTCTTTTTAAGAAACAATGCACAGCATATTTTTAGTGTAGTTATTATCTGCTTTATTTCTTAGCGGATTACAGATTTATCTCATTTTTAAACATAATAGTTTTAATAACTCATTTCTAATAACTGGTTTCTTTTATCTTTGCCAGGATGACAGTAAATAATATTTGACTAGATATTTTTCAAGACACTTCTATACAGCTTAAAGTGACATTTAAAGGCTTAACCAGGTTAATTAGGCAAGTTAGGGTAAGTAGGCAAGTTATTGTATAACAATAGTTTGTTCTGTAGACAATCGAAAACAAATGGTTATCAAATGGTTATCATAAAAATAATAATAATAGCCTTGTTTTAATAAAATGTTAATAAAAAATTAAAAACTGCTTTTATTCTAACCGAAATAAAACAAATAAGACTTTCTCCAGAAGAAAAAATATTATCAGACATGCTGTGAAAATTTCCTTGCTCTGTTAAACACTTTATAGTTCATTCATTCATTCATTTTCTTGTCAGCTTAGTCCCTTTATTAATACGGGGTCGCCACAGCGGAATGAACCGCCAACCTATCCAGCAAGTTTTTACGCAGCGGATGCCCTTCCACCCGCAACCCATCTCTGGGAAACATCCACACTCACACACACTATGGACAATTTAGCCTACCCAATTCACCTGTACCGCATGTGTTTGGACTGTGGGGGAAACCGGAGCATCAGGAGGAAACCCACGCGAAGGCAGGGAGAACATGCAAACTCCACACAGAAACACCAACTGAGCCGAGGTTCGAACCAGCGACCCAGTGACCTTCTTGCTGTGAGGCGACAGCACTACCTACTGCGCCACTGCCTCGCCCACTTTATTGCAAACACTTGCAATAATTTGGCAAGTGTGTATTTTATTAAAATATTTTACAGTTAATATTACAGTTGTTACTTTATTTGCCTTTATATTTACACATTAATAATACAAAAAATGTACAATGTGCCAGAGATGGTTAAAAGGCCATTTTTCATCTACAGTTTTTAGACTGATGTTAGAACAGTCACCCTAAAAACAACATGATTAATCAATACTTAATATACAAACATCAAAATACATGTAAACTTACAGCATTCCTATAAATTAACAATGCATTAAAAAGTACATTATACCTAAAGCTAACACATCAACATCCACAATAATTACTGATTTTTTTTTATTGTCTTATTTAGCTAAAATAATGCTCAAAATTAAAAAATAAAATCTAAATTGAAAATTAAATCTACATTTTTTTTCTACTAAGTAAATACTCTTAAACGAGCCTTAATAGACAATTTTTATTTGTTCAATAAATATTTTCAATTGAATTTAAATTAGTCATTCATTTTCTTTTCAGCTTAATCCCTTTATTAATCTGGGGTCGCCACAGCGGAATGAACCGCCAACTTATCCAGCATATGTTTTACGCAGCGGATGCCCTTCCAGCCGCAACTCAACACTGGGAAACACCCATACACCCTTGCATTCACACACATACACTACGGCCAGTTTAGCTTATTTTATTAACCTGTAGCACATGTCGTTGGACTGTAGGTGAAACCGAAGGAAACCCACACCAACACAGGGAGAACATGCAAACTCCACAAAAAAATGCCAACTGACCCAGCCAGGGCTCAAACCAGCAACCTTCTTGCTGGCGACAGTGCTACCCATCGTGCTGCCTAATATAATTTAATCTGTTTATCTAGCTTTCAGCAAGTTTTGCCATCTATATTTGATCACAACATACAGCGGGGAAAATAAGTATTGAACCATTTTTCAGGTGCCTTGAAAGCTTTTACCAAATGTTGGTAACAACCAAAGAAATTAATATATGCAAAGAAAATAATCTAATCTTATAAATCAAGTTGTGTGTATTAAAATGAATGACGCAGGGAAAAAGTATTGAACATATGAAGAAAGGAAGGTGTAGAAAGGCAGTGAAAGCCCAGACAGCAGCTGAATTCTCTCAGTAGTTCTTTAGCAACCCTCCGCCCTTCATCAGAGTGCATTAATATCAGCTGCTTGAGAAGTTCAGGACTTTCTTCTTGTGTCATTCCATTGTTTTTGTTTTATTTTACTTTTTCTGTATGTCTTGTTTGGGTTTTTACCAAAATCTGGTTCAATTCCTTGTCAACAACTCTTTAGAAATTTTATTCCCAGGATAAAAACATGACGTGAAATTTCCCTGCTGTATCAGTGAGCTTAAAAAACATTGTCATGTTTGCATTGATCCTTACAGCTTTTGTAAATGTGTTTCCAAAGCCTCAGTACTGCAACTCTCTGGATGAAGAAGAGAAGAAAGAGCTGCGGTTGTTCAGCCAGCAGAGGAAGAGGGAGAATCTGGGCCGCGGCATCGTCCGGCTCTTCCCGGTCACTATGACTGGAGCAATCTGTCAACAGGTGAGGAACAGAGACACGAGAATACCAGACTGTCCTCAAATCAGTCCAAACAGCTGCTTTTCAACTGACTGCATGCTTAACCAGGAAATCACAGTATACTGAGCTCAATAGCACACTTGACTCATTAGTAGGGCCAGAAAGAATCTGCAGACATTTTTTGCTATTTCTGCACAGAATTTTGTTTAAAATCTGCGGATTTATCCGGAATGATTTTGGGAGTATCATAACTAAAACCTTAATATATGAAATAAAAAATAATACCTTTTTGACTTTTATTTAATGTTTACGACGCAAATCCAATTAGATCCACTTATTTGGTAAACAAAGCCAGTCTCTCAAATAACAAATCTACTGAAAGGCAGAAATATATAAGTTTACAAACTATATTGTGCATAAATCATATAAATATTATCAAATTAGTCTAATAGTTAGTGTAAAAAATTAAACCGTTTTAAGCCATATTAAACTTTCATTTTACAAAGGCCTCTCTGAAAAAAAAATAGATATTTTTAGATATTTTCTAAAAACAATAAACACCGGAGGAGGTTTAAAATATTATTTAAAAAGTATTTGGATACGATGATATTAATCAAACCGTGCAAACAGAGCATTTTTGGGGTGAGTGAAAGCAGAATCTAGCCTACCTTTTTTTCTGTCACTCAGTCATGCGCAGCGCCGCTTTAAACGCATTGGGGAAAAGTCCGAACACAAAATGTGTCCTATATCCTCAAACAAGTGTTTATATTTTTATATGACGTGGTAAAATTCATAAATGAAACGTTAAATGTAGAGCTTTATTAGTGAATAGCTGCTGAGCGCAACAAATATTGCTATATTTTATTAGGCTACTTGCTTCTTATGTTCTGAAACACTTAAACAAAGTCTATCAAAACAAGGATGTTATGAAATACATTTTATACCGAGTTATTAACGAAGAATATCTGTTGTGTTATATTATGTATGGGTGCGCTCGCTGCGCTGGGTCCCTCCGTTAGTGGCGAGAGCACTCGATGCCAACAGTCGGTCGGTGAGTAACCGTATATAATGAATGGAAACACACAGGCCCATGCGTATAGACATATAATGTAATGCTGTACAGCACAGGTGTCAAACTCAGTTCCAAAAGGGCCGCAGCTCTGCACAGTTTAGTTCCAACCCTAATTAAACACACCTGATCAAACTAATTGAGTCCTTCAGGCTTGTTTGAAACCTACAGGTGAGTGTGTTGGAGCAGGGTTGGAACAAACTGTGCATGGCTTCGGCCCTCCAGGAATTGAGTTTGACACCCCTGCTGTACAGTAACGTGTCATTTGTTTGTTTCGGTTGTCTTTATTTGAATGGTTTTGTGATGGTGTGCTTTAACTGCCTGATTCCCGCTGAGGTGGGCGGGTTGTGTGACGTTTGATTCGGGGAATGTTCTGGGGGCGGGGTTTGTGTGATGCGCTGCGAGCTATTAGCCTGACAGTGGAAACGCGACATGATTTCGGCCTCACTGCTCAACCTCCCGGGTGATTGGCCCAGCCCGATAAAAGCCCAGGCTCGCACTGGTCCGATAGTGGAAATGCGGCTAATGACAAAGTCTAACGGGACCTCTGATTCTGGAATATATTTTATCTCAATACTGGGAAACACCCATATAATCTTACATTCACAAACATTCACTTCAACCAATTTAACTGTAGTCAATTCACCTATTCACCTTATTCTCCGCAGACGAGCGGGCGCAGCCATTTGAATCTTTTTGGCTCGAGACTTCCGGTTTGATTCACTTCCATTCATTTTTAAAAATTGCTCGTTACGCTGCTCGATGTTGCAAACTGATATTTCCTTATTATATTATTCTACTTGGTCTGTATAGTCATGCAAACATTTGTTTGTAGAGCAAGTAGTTTGACCGTTTTCTGCCGTTTATTATTCCTAGTCATTTCTCCCAAAGGCGACTGAATCGGACGTTCTAAAACAATCTCAAAAACAGGCGCAACTTCCACATATAGAATTCAGAATTCATTCTGTGTGATATTAAAAAAAGTCTTAAATATAACTCTCAGAAACCTGCAGATATCCTGATGCACTTATCACAGTATACTCGGCTCAATAGCAAGTATGGAGTGTTCGGAAAACTACTTGAGCTGAAGAGGCACTCGTCTGGCTTCAGGAAGCTCAATTCAAACTCCAGATATCATATGTACTAGATAAAAGCGCATACTTTCCATAAACCGCTGCCATATTTCAACACCCATAATGCACTGCAGCTGACGAGTGGCTGCCAGCAGGGTGTGACTGGCGGTTTGTGTCTCGTCGAGTTGATTTATGTGAATGCTTAAACGTACAGAGACGTAGCAAAGTTAGAACGCAGTCTTTTTCATATTTCTACATGCCATGTTTCTCATTTGGACTTCATTATAGCTGTTTATGATGAAGGTGTGGCTCTGCTGGAGAACAAGATGTTAAGATGTTAACTAAAGGGTGGTAGACGTGTGGTGAAGAAGATTTACCTCTTCACTTGTGGTAAAATCACTGCAAACCCTACATCTTAGAAATCATACACTGTGAAAAATGCAGGGTGTTCCACACAATTCCTTCATGTTGTCCCAAAACAAATGAATCAATTAAATTGATAAGTTAATGTCATCGTTTTTACAAATTTAATTGGATTCAACATAAAACATTTAGGTTGTCCCAAAAACTCATGAATTGTTGTTTTTTCAACTCATTTTAAATATGTTGTTTGAACAGGCAGCAAAAGGCGTTTTTAACGTACAATTTTTTTTCTATTTTTATTTATTTATTTTTATTTATTTATTTTTATTTATTTATGTATGTATTTATATAATTATTTTAATCAACTTATATTGAAATTATCAACTTTTTTTTTTTGAGCAATGTGTTTATTCTTTTTGATTATGCAAGACAGGTAACAGAAAAACACAAAGACATTTCGTTGTAATTATTTCCCACCCCATCAAAAGAACGTCACTCTTTTCTTCCCTAAATAAATACACAGAATTCTCTTACAAGAGACAATTTAAATGCAAAACAAATATTGCTAGGCACCCAAAAACCAAGTATACATAACTGTACTTTACACATGAAAGTTACATTATCCAACAAAACAAAACGAAACACACACAAAAAAATAAAAAATATAGATAAAAACAATATGTTGGTTACACCTCTTGTAATAAACTACGAATATTATTGTTGTTAATGTAGTAATTAAACGGCTTCCATATTTCTTTATACTCATCCATTTTGTTTTTGAAATTGTCAACTTACTGAAGTAATTCTTCTTTTTCTTATTATTTTATTCAACTATTTTTATTGTTAAACAGCCAAATACAAAGAACACACTTCACACTACACATACATGATAGATGTTACATATTCAGCCATCTGTCACACCAAGAAAATTCTATTATTATTATTATTATTATTATTATTAGTTGCTCGCTTCCAAAATAAGTTCATATTTACTAAATATATTTGTGCGTATTTTTGTGTTTAAATATATGCATGACTATATTATATATGACTATATATCTATACACAGTTGAAGTCAGAATTATTAGCCCCCTGAATTATTTGCCCACTTTTTTTCCCCCAATTTCTGTATAACGGAGAGTGGATTTCTCCAACACAGTTCTAAGCACAATAGTTTTAATTACTCATTTCTAATAACTGATTTATTTTATCTTTGCCATGATGACAGTAAATAACATTTGACTAGATATTTTTCTAGACGAGAAGAGCATGCATACTCCACACAGAAATAGCTTGAACCTGCGACCTTCTTGCTGTGAGGCGATTGTGCTACTCGCTGCGTCTTTCTGCTGCAGTTTCCCCCACAGTCCAAAGACATGCTCTATAGGTGAATTGAATAAACTAAATTGGCATTAGTGTATGAGTATGTGTGTGGGTGTTTCCCAGTACTGGGTTGTGGCTAGAAGAACATACGATGTGTAGAACGTGTGCTGGAATAGTTGGCGGTTTATTCCACTATGGCGACCTCTGAAGTAAAGGGTATTACAGTAGAACATAAAACAAATACAGTAGAGACTGAGCCAAAGGAAAACGAATTAATGAAAATTCTATAATTATTTTTTGAAATGGTTAAAATGGATCATAAATGATAGAATATGTGCTGGGAAAAGGTTTATTATGGTTAATTGCATCCAAAAAAGAGGGTTGCAGTGACTAAAAACGTGTCTTCTAGGGGAATTTTAGAATATTCATCATTGATCAAGTTGTGATCTAATGACTTTTTATCATGTTGTTGTGTTTGTATGTTGTTTTGTGCAATGCTTGATTATTAACAAACGGTTCTGACTGTAATTTATATATTGAATATAATATGTCTGCTGGAGAACAAGATGTTACTATATGTGCATAGACACCTGGTGAAGATTTGACGTTTCACTATCGAATACTTAGTACGTGGCGCCATGAATATAGCCAATGCTGTTCATAAGATAATAAGCATACGACGTCACAGTACTCATGCAGGATTCGCTCAGGGCTTTCATTAAAGGGAACACCCCCCACTTTCGGTTCAGGTCTACCTCAGATTTTTTTCAATAGATGCATCATAAGGGGCGTGGAGCTCCGCGAGCAACGGGCAGGAGTGGGCGTGGCCAGCAGCAGGGGAGAAGGAGGGGACCGAACTGTTGTCAGTTAGCTCACAAAATGACCATGAGGAGACCCCAGATTTTATAGTTTACAAAGTTTACATGCAAATAAACAAACAGTAATTTTATGCCCTGCTACATTTGTTATTTGTTATTTCATATACAGATAACCACAATTTATATCATTATAAAGATAAGCGTGTTCATATAAACACTATAAATGAGGACTTCTCCCTCAATCCCCGGGTCTGAATGCAGACTCAGTGCAGCAGGTCTCTTGCCCTGTCTATTTTAACCATTAGCCCTGCTGGTAATCTAGAGAATTTAGACAAACACAGCAGCACGGCGATGTGTCTAAATGTGAACAAACTCCTGATAAAAGACAACGTCCACCATTCTCCAATTCTCGTACTGCTCTCCCGACAAAAATGCTTGCTGCACAGAAACCGCTTTGCTGACCCTGATAGGTTCACAGGGAAAAACAAGCAACAAACCCCGTGGATCATAGAAACAAACACATACGAGCCTTCATGAACAGCTAAATACTGTGTGCCGTGGGTTCGTGAACGCGGTCTCTCCCATCAACGTAGGATCTCACAGCTTGGCACTGGCAGGTCTGTCTTGCCTTCGGAAAGCATGTGCAGTCATGAATAATTAAGAAGCCGGGTCTTCTCATAGGATAAGAAAACTTTGCTATGAATAATAATGAGAAATCGATGCGTCATCTTTGCACTTGCAGTTTTGCGCTATGACGCCGATTTGGATCCCACCCCAAAAATTATTTTAAACCCGGAAGCTGAAATTAGCTGACAAAAGCTCAAAATTATCCAGTTTTCCCCACGATTAAAGCTAACAGATGCTAACATTGTCTTAACTGATGCTCAACACACACAAATTTCTTAAAATCTAAAAAAAATAATAATAATACTTGAGGGTTTCGTAAACCTTTAAAGAGAGAGTTTACCCAAAAATGAAAATGCACTTTTTACTCTCCCTCAAGAGTTTCTTTATTCTGTTGAACACAAATGAAGATATTTTGAAGAAAGCTGAAAACCTGTAATCGTTGACTTCCATAGTAGAGGAAACATACTATTGAAGAAGTCGATAGTTGCAGGTTTCCAACATTTTTCAAAACGTCTTCTTTTCTCTCATAAAGATTTGAAAGACGTAAAGAGTGAGTAAAGGATGACAGAATGTTCATCTTTGGGTGAACTATCCCTGTATATATCCAGCTTGTAATCATGAGTAATCGTTTCCCTCACATTTTGTTCCCCCTTTTGCTTTCAGTGTGGCAGGCAGATCTGTGGCGGAGACATCGCCGTGTTTGCGTCACGAGCGGGTCACGGCTCTTGCTGGCATCCGCAGTGTTTCCAGTGCGCCTCCTGTAATGAGCTGCTGGTCGACCTCATTTACTTCTACCAGGACGGACACATCTACTGCGGACGGCACCACGCAGAGCACATCAAACCCCGCTGCCAGGCCTGCGACGAGGTAAACGCTTCAATGCAGCTCATTAATTTCCCCCAGTTTAATGTTTGGTGTCACATGCACCGCTGGTCTGATGTTAGAATTCATTAAAGTGACATGAACTCAACACAGGCTCATTGGAAAAGAGTGCTTCAGCCTATATTTTTGAAACCTGCAAAAAAGTACCAAAACATACATTCGACTGTGGTTTCTATGTAAAGTGAACACTAGGGGGCAGCAGCTTTTGCTTCCTTTTCACACTAATGACTTTTACAGGGACATAATATTGACGAATAAAGGATTAGTCTCATGCAGTTCTTTGCACAACACCAAATAGATACCATAAAATAACAGAGTCTAGGATTTGTAATGGGATACATTTGCCTTTTATCATATCTCAGTTTACTCGGTAGTTTACTTTGTACTGTGTTGTACCTGTGAGTGCTAAGGTTCGAGTCTACTGAAGCATTGTTCAACAAAAGAGAAAAAAAGTTATATAAAATCTATACAAAACTATATCACAGGGTGCTTTTCTCTATGTAAACACTATTGGTTGGGTTTAAGGAATGGTTTAAGTCAGTTGTTCCCAGGGTGATCTGTACAACAGGCCGGAACTGGAAGCTTCAACAAAATATACACTAAGGCCCAATCCCAATTCTACCCCTTAGCCCTTCCCCTTAGCCCTACCCCTCGTTTTGCGAGTTCACGTCAATGGGTAGGGGTGTACCCTCTTTAGCTTGAAAGCGTAGGGCTAATAGCCCTTTGAACTAACATTTTTCAGGACCACACTCGAATCCAAGGGGTAAGAACATTTCCCAGAATGCACCAGCCACAACGGCAGTATTGCAGATCCACAAATTAGTATTTTTTTGTCATTATTATGAATTTTTACAACAAACAAGCACATGTTTTAATATGTTCATAACCGCATTTTTGTTTCACCGTCATGCTTTTAAAAAAACTCGCTAAAATAAAAACTGCTAACTGCATAACATCAGCGCATGTTATGTTTCGCAATAATATATACTGAGGCAAGTTTCTCAAATGAGCCCAGACTGTTTGAACTGCCTACTTTTTTATTATGTTTTACTCTTCACCATTTATATTTTCACGAAGATTGCCACATTAAAAAAACATTGTAATTTAGAAGCATAGGGCTATTTTCTGTTCTGTTTCATCCCTTTGCATCTGAACATACTGTTAGAATAGGTGTGGATTTTAGACACAGAAGTAAATGCCCACTGGTCTGTTTGGCTAAACTTTGGAATAATTAAAATGTTCAAAACTTGTTAGGAAGAGCTGTGCATATATTGCCACTTTATTAGGTACACCTGTCCAACTACACATTAATGCAAATTTCTAATCAGCCAATTACATGGCAGCAACTCTACGCATTTAGGCTTGTAGACATGGTCATGAGGATCTATTTCAGTTCAAACCGAGCATCAGAATGGGGAAGAAAGGTGGTTTAAGTGACTTTGGTTGTTGTTTGGTTGACATGGTTTTTGGTGGCAGACAAGCTGGTAGGAGTATTTCAGAAACTGCTGATCTACTGGGATTGGTCCGAAAAAGAGAAAATATCCAGTGAGGGGCAGTTCTGTGGGCGCAAATGCCTTGTTAATGGTCAGAGGAGAATGGCCAGACTGGTTCCAGCTGATAGAAAAGCAACAGTAGCTCAAATAACCACTCGTTACAACCGAAAGTATGCAGAAGAGCATCTCTGAACACACAACACGTCCAATCTCGAGGCAGATGGACTACAGAAGCAGACCACACCGGCTTCATCTTCTGATGGCGACTTCCAGCAGGATAACACTCCATGTCATAAAGCGTGAATCATCTCAGACTGGTTTCTTGAACATGACAATGAGTTTACTGTATTCAAATGGCCTCCACAGTCACCAGATCTCAATCCAATAGAGCACCTTTGGGATGTGGTGGGATGGGAGCTTCGCATCATGGTTGTGCAGCCGACAAATTTGCAGCAACTGTGTGATGCTCTCATGTCAATATGGAGCAAAATCTCTGAGGAATATTTCCAATAGTGATTCCAATAGTGAATCTATGCCATCAAGGATTAAGGCAGTTCTGAAGGCAAATGGGAGTCCAGCCCAGTACTTGTAGGATGTACCTAATAAAGTGGCTTTTTTGTTTGATCATTTGTTTACTTTTTTCCAACAACAAAAAATTTGACCAGAAGTGTAAACACTGTAAAAAATGTTAGGTTTCATACAATTTTCTTTATGTTGTCCCAATACAAATCCATTGAGTTAACTTATTAGTTTTTACAAACTCAAGTGGATTCAACATAAAAACAATTAGAATTAGAATTGTGTTGTGTCCGCTCATTTTAAATAAGTAGTTTGAACAAGCAGCAAAAGCCATTTTTGGGTGAATTGCTGTAGCAGTGAAATTCTGAGCAAATCACTGCCAAAGATTCCACACCATCCTATTTACTTTACTAAAAATGACTGCCTCATTTTCTAAGTATGTTCAAACAGCAAACAGTAGAAGGCTACATAATTTAACGTGTGATGTTGTTGATCAGATCATCTTTGCGGACGAGTGTACTGAGGCGGAGGGCAGGCACTGGCACATGAAGCATTTCTGCTGTTTCGAGTGTGAGGCAGCTCTGGGTGGCCAGCGCTACATCATGAGAGAGAGTCGACCGTACTGCTGCCGCTGCTACGAGTCTCTGTACGCCGAATACTGCGACACCTGCGGAGAGCACATCGGTGAGTGCACGAACACATGGAGATTTCCATTTCACCATGACAGGAGAACTAAAAATACACTGCCTGGACTAAAACGATTTAGTGGTAGACTATTATGGCGTGTGTCCACCGAAGCATTTTTGCACTGCAGAAATGCTAATGCTGTTTTAAAATTGCTAAGCTGTGAGCGTTATTTGCAGTGCAGTTGCTATGATACGGATACAGTGATTAACATATACGAGTTCACCCCTTACAATTCTCTCATTTAAATTCATTCATTTTTGGCTTAGTCCCTTTATTAATCTGGGGTGGCCACAGCGGAATGAACCGCCTACTTATCCAGCATATGTTTTACGCAGCGGATGCCCTTCCAAATACAACCCATCTCTGGGAAACACCAATACACTCTCATTCACATTAATAGACTACGGACAATTTAGTCTACCCAGTTTGCATGTTCTCCCCGTGTTGGTGTGGGTTTCCTCCGTGTGCTCCGGTTTCCCCCCACAGTCCAAACACATGCGCTATTGGGAATTGAATAAACTAAATTGGCTGTAGTTTATGAGTGTGTGTGTGTGTGTGTGTGAATGTGAGTGTGTATGGGTGTTTCCCAGTGCTGGGTTGTGGCTGGAAGTGCATTCGCTGCATAAAACATGCCAGAATAGTTGGCGGTTCATTCCGCCGTGGTGACCCCAGATTAATAAGGGACTAAGCTGAAGGAAAATGAACGAATGTATGAAATAACACAGAAAAACAACAACCTTAATATAAAAGCTGCTACATTTTTATCCGCTGGAACATTTGCGATTATATAATATGCCACGCCAGGCAGCATGTGATGAAGTAATGACATAAAGTACAGTTCAGAAGTTTGGGATCAGCGAGGAAGATTAAATGGAAAGTGACAGGAAAGACTCTTACATTGTTACATAAAATTCTGTTGCAAGTTAATGCTGCTCTTTCCAATGTTATATTACTCTAATCCTGAAAATGCTTTGTAATATCCACAAAAAGGCAACGCCGTGGCGCAGTAGGTAGTGCTATCGCCTCACAGCAAGAAAGTCGCTGGGTCGAGCTTCGGCTGGGTCAGTTGGCGTTTCAGTGTGGAGTTTGCATGTTCTCCCTGCGTTCGCGTGGGTTTCCTCCGAGTGCTCCGGTTTCCCCCCCAGTCCAAAGACATGCAGTACAGGTGAATTGGGTAGGCTAAATTGTCCGTAGTGTATGAGTGTGTGTGTGATTGAGTGTGTGTGAATGTTTCCCAGAGATGGTTTACGGCTGGAAAGGGTATCCCCTACGTAAAAACGTGCTGGATAAGTTGCCGGTTCATTCCGCTTTGGCGACCCCGGATAAATAAAGGGACTAAGCCGAAAAGAAAATGAATGATTAAATATCCACATTAGTAGCAAAAGATTTAAAGCAAATCGGCACACAGCCACTTTAGCTCTCAAAAAGAAATTTTTTTATTGTCAATATCACAACGTTTCGACCGACATGGTCTTCATCAGGTAAAGCCTTGCAAATGGAAGTTCTCCAGAAATAGTCAAACAGCTCTACACAGCACCTGCAGTCAATTATCACAATCAGCTAACAAGCCGATAAACAGGAACATTTGCATACAATAATAGACATCTAACAATATGAAAAACATACATCCCATTACAAACAAACATTTAAAATACAAATACAAATTCTCACTATAGACTTCCTCGGAGACAGTATTCTATAGGCTAAATAGATATAGCGCATCACACCTGCACAAAATCACATTGATCAAACACAAGGCCAGTAGACCTAGGGGCAAAAAACATTATGTACATATTTAGTATACAACATGTCATTCATTCACTTTCTTGTCAGCTTAGTCCCTTTATTAATCCGGGGTCGCCACAACGGAATGAACCGCCAACTTATCCAGCAAGTCCCTACGCAGCGGATGCCCTTCCAGCTGCAACCCATATCTGGGAAAAGTATACAACAATACAGAATGCAAATACACTTACAAAAAGGATTTTAAATCAAAATCCAAATTTAAACCTCTGGGAGATAAAGTGTTTAGTGTGTAAATGTAAAACGCTTCCCTCTGTAATAAAAGTCTGTCAACATCGCCACCCCTTCTCGGCACCTTCACTTGTTCAATGCCAATATATCGCAACGTCGCAAGGTTATGTTTCAATGCATTAAAATGAACGGCGATGTCGGTCGAAACGTTGTGATATTGACAATAATAAAATTCTTTTTGATTCAATTCAATTCAGCTTTATTTGTATAGCGCTTTTACAATGTAGATTGTGTCAAAGCAGCTTCACATAAATGGTCATAGTAACTGGAACAGTGTGGTTCAGGTTTTAGTGTTTAAGTTCAGTTCAGTTTTGCTCAGTTCAGTGTGATTTAATCATTACTGAGAGTTCAAACACTGAAGAGCAAATTCATCGATGCGTAGCTCTACCAATCCTGAACCATGCGAGGCAGTGGCGACAGCGGAGAGGGAAAAAAAACTTCACCTGATGGGAGTGAAGAAAAAAAACCTTGAGAGAACCAGACTCAGTTGGGCACGACCATTTTACTTTCTCCGCTGGCCAAAAGTCTTGTGCAGAGCTTCATTCGCCGTGGTTTAGGCTGGAAGATGGCCTCAGCGAACACTCGTCTAAAGACTCGAGCTAAAGTGGCAGTGTGCCGATTTACTTTGAATCTTTTGCTACTAACGTTTGTTCTTTGATCGTGCACCTGCCTTCAAGATTTTCTAGATATGCGCACATATCTGTTTTTTTGCATGATTAAATATCCACCAAAAAAAAAAAAAACAGAGCACCTGGAGGAATCCCACACTAAGACAGTGAGAACATGCAAACTCCACACAAAAATGCCTCCTGGCCCAGCCGGGACTCGAACCAGCGACCATCTTGCTGTGAGGCGACAGTGCTAACCACTGAGCCACCGTGCCGCCCTTCAAACTACATAAATATGACTTTTTATATTTATACCTGATGATCTACCCATATAGATAGTATGTGTTGTGTTTGCTGGGCTTCACCATCAACCCATTTCCCTGTGTTTGTATTTCTGGACTGGAGCTCTGGTGGAAGTGATTTTGTGTGAGAGTTGCAGCTTTGCTCCAGATGTGCTGCTCTGAGCTCAACTCACATTCCTGTCGATGATGGCAGCGAAAAGCCCAGTAATTACTGAGAAATGCTGCACTTCCTGATAGAGATGTTCCATGATTGAAGGGCTTGTCCTGTGCTTTATCTCACGCTGTGTGTGTGTGTGTATGTGTGTGTGCTTCATCTTACTCTTTCTCTCTCTGTGTGTGTGTGCAGGTATAGACCAGGGTCAGATGACGTATGAGGGCCAGCACTGGCATGCGTCTGAGCAGTGTTTCTGCTGCGCCTGCTGTCGGCTCCCTCTGCTGGGCCGTCCGTTCCTGCCACGGGGAGGACTCATCTTCTGCTCCCGCTCCTGCTCGCTCGGGGAAGACCCGGAAAACTCTGACTCCTGCGATTCAGCCCTGCAGAGCAAATCAGCAACACACAAACCGCTTCAGAGTCAGCAGCGCAGCTCCACACCACGGCCACAGGGGGGCAGCAGCGACATCAGCATACAGAGGACACCAGCAGCTAATGGAGGACAGATTACACTTCAGACCAAAGGTACACTGCTATTATGCATCTTTTTTTGGCGCTTGCTTCACACAAATGCATTAGTACCTAATTTATTCAAAATGTAGTTTATGTAAACTAGAAAGCATGGTTATAAAATGTACAATTATAAGCAATAAATAAGTATAAGTGTATATGATTATATGTTAAATAAGTATAAGTAAAATGTAAATATTTGCTGTATTTACTTTTATGTTGGCTTTGATTTAAAGAAAAGTGCTTTTCTGTTTCTCAGGGGTTATTTAAATATAATTAAGCATGTTTTCTCCCTACATTTTTGTTACTGTATTTTTAAATATCAAAATATAATTGCAACTATTAATACTTATTGATTAGGTTCTAATTTCCTCTGGAGAATATCTTATTTATTTTATTTCCTTAAATATATATATATATATATATATATGAGCAATATCACACGAGTAGCAGTGCGATATGGCTGTATATCAGCACTGGTGGGAGGCGTGCATTGGCTTGAGGCCACACACGTGGGCCTTAGTGTTCCACCAGTGACAATATGCAACCATATCGCACTGCTACTCGTGTGATACTGCGTTTATACAACAGTTCCACAGCACAATCGTGTATATTAAAAGAAAATCAAACACAGAGAGTCTAAAAACCTTTTTTTAAGAGGAACTACTTTCTTCCACCGTTTATACACATCTACAGTCAGAACAGCAGAAACCATTGCTACTTCACCAACGTCCCTTTAGAGCTAGTATTTAAATGACTCTCTAGCGTAATGTCTAAAATAATGACAAAACGGCTGATTTTGCTCACATTTCAAGATTATAAGGCAGAACAGCATGAAATGCCATCAGTCTAAAGAGATTTCCCAGTATTTCTCTGTTGCAGTCAGGAGATCAGCATAAGTAACCTCAAAACAGCCAAAGCAAAGCAAACACTGGCAGATTACTATGGTATAAATACAGCACTACAACCTACAAATGAGAGAGATTAACTTAGAATGTCACTAAACTGTTCTGTAATGATTTCTTCAGCTGTAGTTTGAAACATACACTGAGAAAAGGCTGTTTTTCTCCTCTGAGGACGTATTATGTGGTCTCTGTCACCATCTTGTGGCGGAACGTCAACCATTTTTGCTCTGCTCAGAATGGCAGGCTGACTGCCAGCGCGCTGAATTTATGAATATTTAAAATAGGCACTATCCATATAAACACACTGCGTAGTTGCAATCTAAACAACTATGTAGGTGGAGTAATACAGAAGGGTGAAGAGTTCTGATATTGCAGAATATTGCACTGCTGTCAGCCAATCAGATTCGAGAACCAGACAGAACTGTAAGCCAGGACTGCACTGGATTGACAGAACTGTTGCAAAAGTCAACATTATTAACCCCTTTAGAATGATGTTTTTTTTTTCGATCTGCTACTGAAAAACCACTGTTGTCCAATAACTTGCTTAATCAACCTAACTAATCAATAATCCCAGTCCACATATAAAGATTTATTTATATATACATAGAAATATACAGTAAGTATACAGTAAGATATTGCTATTTCAAACAAATGTTCTTTTGAAGTGCGTTTTTACTAAAATGTCATAAAGAAATATTATGAATTGCCCAAAAATGTTAACAAGCACGACTGTTTCAGACATAAGAAGAAATGCTTCTTGAGGATTGAGTCAAAAAAATGACCTTTTTATTTAAAATTTCTGAATAAAAGCTTTGTGAGTTTGAGACTCTCAAAAAATGTTGCAAACTCCTATAATTTTAACTGTATGATTTTATATGTATTATATATTATTACATTATTTCATGTCTTACTTTGTCTATGAATTTTGTTGTTAAATATATACTCACCGGCCATTTTATTAGGCACATCTAGTACCAGGTTGGACCCCCTTTTGCCTTCAGAACTGCCTAAATCAGTCATGGCATAGATTCAACAAGGTACTGGAAATTTTCCTTAGAGATTTTGGTCCTTATTGACATGATAACATCACGCAGTTGCTGCAGATTTGTCGGCTGCACATCCATGATGTGAATCTCCCGTTCCACAAAAGGTGCTCTATTGGATTGAGATATGGTGACTGTGCAGGCCATTTGAGTACAGTGAACTCATTGTTATGTTCAAAAAACCAGTCTGAGATGATTTGCACTTTATGACATGGTGCATTATCCTGCTGGAAGTAGCCATCAGAAGATGGGTACACTGTGGTCATAAAGGGATGGACATGGTCAGCAAAAATTCTCAGGTAGGCTGTGGTGTTGACACGATGCTCAATTGGTACTAATAGGCCCAAAGTGTGCCAAGAAAATATCCCCCACACCATTACACCTCCACCACTAGCAGCCTGAACCATTAATACAAGGCAGGATGGATCCGTGCTTTCATGTTGTTGATGCCAATTCTGCCCCTACCATCTGAATGTCGCAGCAGAAATCGAGACTCATCAGAGCAGGCAACGTTTTTCCAATGTTCTATTGTCACTTAAATCACTTTCTTCCCTATTGCTCAGTTTAAACTGCAGCAGATCGTCTTGACCATGTCTACATGCCTAAAAACATTGAGTTGCTGCAATATGATTGGCTGATTAGAAAGTTGTGGCTGGTGTGTGTGTGTGTGTGTGTGTGTGTGTGTGTGTGTGTGTGTGTGTGTGTGTGTGTGTGTGTGTGTGTGTGTGTGTGTGTGTGTGTGTGTGTGTGTGTGTGTATATATATATATATATATATATATATATATATATATATTAGCGCTGTCAAAATTAGTGCGTTAACGCATGTGATTAATTTTAAATAATTAACGCAGTTGCAATTGCCGGATACTCCTAGTCTTAGCAACTGGATGAATGTAAAGGAGGGTTAAGCAAAATTGTTTCTACTCTATAATTAATGTTCTCAACTCACAGCAATAAAACTTTACAATGAGTGCAACAGTTTGTATTCTATACTTTATTATTATAATTTTAAATTTTCCATATCTGCATTTCCTGTATTTTGGCATTTTTTTGCAGTCCACTTAGAATCCAACATGGAAATCAATGTTTTCTTTATTTAAATGTCATTAACTTGCCTGTGTTTTAATTTCTGTAATAAATATGGCTGTCAAGCCAGGATCTTGATGGTTTATTGTGGGTATGTTGTTTACATGAAGAAATCTGTGTTACAAGTTAAATAAAAATTCTATTAAACAATTATATTTAGAATTTTAATTCTGATAAACAATTATATTTTGAATTTAAATAGTTTTTGTCTTGCGTTTATAATAATTTAACATTTGAATAGCCAAAATGACAAGCTTCAGTATTTTAAATGCGATTAATCGCGATTATTTTTTTTTAAAAAGATGCGATTAATTAGTTAATTTTTTTTAATCGATTGACAACACTAATATATATATATATATATATATATATATATATATATATATATATATATATATATATATATATATATATATATATATATATAAATTTCTTTGTGTAATTCACCTATATGGTCTAGAACTGCAAAAAATAGAGTTGATATTATACTAATAATTAATCTTGAATTTCTAATTGAATTGCTTGTTTCACAGGCGTTCACACATCATTCCCTCCTCTAGTGAATGGAGACCCTCCCCCATACGGACGAACAAGCACACCACACCCTCTTCCTTCCGCTCAGCTCTGTCCTGTAGCCAATGACAGAGCAGGGTCACTCAGCAAGGACCAATCAGAGACTCCCAGTGCAGACGGTCCTTACAGCGCTCTGGAGTTTACAGTGGAGCTCAATGGATACGCTGAATTCGGCCCTTTCCCTCCAAGCTGCACGTCTAGAGGCACGTCAACTGTAAAGGACTGTGGGAACATCATCGAGAGCAGCTGTTCAGGTGTGCTTAAGATTAATCAACAAGGACGTTTCAAGGAATATAGTATCAAAGCTCATCCCAGAAAACATGCAACATTGGTTATTTCATATAGTTTCTTCTGGTAAACACAAAAGAAGATCTAATGCAGAAGACAGGCAGACAAAGCCATTTTTATAGTTTCTTTGATTCATAAAAGTGTTCTTGGAGCTTCATATGAATACTTTGAGCATTTAAATCATATTAAACATCTGGACAATGTTTGAATGTGTCAAAGAGAGCTCTCGGATTTCATGTAAAATATTTGTGTTTCAAAGATGAACGAAAGTCTCATAGGGTTGATACAACATGAGGCTGAGTAATAATAGAATTGTCAATTTGAGTGAACCAACCCTTTAAAGGGCCATGAAACCCCCTCGTTTCAGCAGGGTGTTTTCACACCTCTACTTTGGAAAAAGTCAGAAAAGTGGGCGTGTCCAGCTCTGTTTAGGGGGGAGTGTCGGAGGAAGAAAAGAGGCAAGGTGTGGGAGTGTCTATTTGGGCGCCCTGACTTTTAGAGTCAAAACACACACACACAGCGGACAAAATGACTGTTTACATGGACATCTGTAGTCGAATTATTTGCCAAATTATTAAACGGTGGACTTTAACTGCAGTTTGGCTCTTTCATTCAGGGAATTCATTCATGTCCCTCGCGACAAATGAGATATTTGATTCGAGGAACTGCTCTAAGCGTGTATTTTTCATGCAATGTTTGATACCGCACGGCGAATGAGAGAAAAAAAAAACCCTCCGCATTTCCCGGAAACTTAGATGCACACGGCAGGTAGCGTCAGAAAGCCGCGTGTGTTATTCCGGTCACAAAATGCGGTGAAAATCCTACACGAGGTTAAAGTTTGGTTGTAGTGCTAACATGTTTACACTCGGTGCAATAGTTAACTTAGTTCGATACGAACAAACTGAATAAACAAAGAGCACTGGTCGCTCACTTACCAAATCTGTAAAGACAGGACAATCACCAGCAACTAGAGCCGCGTCTTTATTAAGAGGAGACTACAAGCGAATCCGGATCTCAGTGTTTGCAGATGAGAACACCTCTCAGGTAAACAATGTTCCTCCTTAGACACGTAAGTTATTGTTGTCGAGCGTCGCGTACACTGTTAATCCACACGTGAGTCTGAGCTCTCACAGTGAGAAAATGAAAATAAAACTTAACTGCAGCAAACTATAAAAGCAACACTATTACAGTAATGAATATTAATGAAGTTGCACAATAGAGCGCGCTGATTGGTTTGAACCAAGCCTTACTCATGCATTAATGCATCACACTGTAAGACGTAATAAGACTCACTCTGGCACAGACGTCCAGTCTGCACGCTGGAATACACGCTATTATGTCATGACCGTGACGCAGCTTCAAAAATTCGTTTCAAACCGGAAGTACGAATTTGCTTGAAATAACGCAAAAACAAGCAATTTCCACTTTTTAGTGAAATATAGGTGTCCTAATAGTGTTGTTAGCAGTGTGGGACACATATACGACTGTCAACAGCTCAAAAAATGTGTTTTGGTGTTTCGTGACCCTTTAAATTATGACCTTTGATTGATCTGAAGCTGTATTTCTTACTTTGCGCTCTCTGTTATAGGCATTTCCTCTCAGCTTGCGTCATTTGACGATCTGAATGACTCGGACTCTTTCCCGCCTCCTCCGCCGCCTGTGTTTTTCGACCCTTCTGATTCTCCGGACCCTCTGGCCTCGGTCACTGAAGCTGAAGATCTGCCAGCAGCACCGGTACGCAGCAGCACAGCCAGAGTCAGCTTCAGAGAGCCCATCAGCTGCAGCTACTCAGTGGAGGAGAACGAGTGGGAGGACGAGGACCAGCCGGAGATGCAGAGACGAGACAGAGATGAGGACGAGCAGGAGGAAGATGGAGAGGAAGCGGAGGGGAGTCTGGGACACAGGCTGCGCATTTGCAGTCAAGTACCGTCTCGAATGGACCTGCTGGGTAAGATCATAATGCACTTTTAAACTGTTTGCTGCTGTTAAAGGAACACTACACTTTTATTGGAAATAGGCTCATCTTACTAGTTAAATAGTTAGTTTTAGATAGCTAAAAATAAAATTTTATATAGCTAGTTAGTTTTTTTTGTTTATTCAACTGATCTCAGGTCTGAGCAATTTTAGCTTAGCTTAGCATAGATCATTGAATCAAATTAGACCATTAGCATCTCCAAAAAGTCAAAGCTTGACTTTTCTGTAGTTGCATCATGTAGTAAGACAGAGATTAATGTAAACTGTGTAAATATTACTATTTGTTCTGTTAACTAGAAATAATAAAACTGAAAGTAAATATATTAGGCTAAGTAGAAACGTGTTTACACAAAAAGCTAAACTAACATTATCATTAATGATAAGCTAAAAATGAAATGAACAGCAAGTTTTAATGTGAAGGAACACTCCATTTTTACTCCATTTAAGACAGTTTTTAATCAATTCAACTAATCTCTTGGTCTGACAGGGGAGCACTTTTAGCTTAGCTTAGCATAGATCATTGAATCTGATTAGACCATTAGCAACTACAAAATACAGTTTGGATAATGTTCCTATTTAAAGACTCTTTTGTAGTTACAGCGTGTAGTAAGACAGAGGTTAATGCAAACTGTGTGAATATTACTATTAGCTTCGGTCAACACTGCACATGTTCTGTTAACTAGATTTTCTAAAAAAAAAACAAAAGTTAATGTATAAAAGCTAAATAGAAATGTGTTCACAAAAAAAGCCGAACTAACCTATGATAAAACAATAAAAAAACTAAAATAAAATGAACAGCCATTTTTTTTATGAAGGAACACTCCACTTTTAATCCATTTGATTCAGATCCATTTGATTTTAATCCATTTAACTGATCTCTGGGTCTGACAGGGGAGCACTTTTAGCTTAGCTTAGCATAGATCATTGAATCAGATTAGACCATTAGCAACTCTAAAAAAGATTTTTGACAATTTTTCCTATTTAAAACTTGACTTTTCTGTAGTTGCATCGTGTAGTAAGACAGAGGTTCAAGTAAACTGTGTTAATATTACTATTTGTTCTGTAAACTAGAATTAATAAAACTGAAAGTAAATATTTTAAGCTAAATAGTAACTAAATATAATAACTAAAACTAACAAATCCATTAATGATACAATCTAAAACTACAATGAAATGACTCCAATTTTTTTTTATTGGAAATAGGCTCATTTTACAAATTTTAATATGAAGGAACACTCCACTTTTAATCCATTTAATCTATGAGTCTGATGGGAGCACATTTAGCTTAGCTTAGCATAGATAATTGAATCAGATTAGACCATTAGCATCTCCACAAAGAAAAGAGTTTTGATAAATTTTCTATTTAAAGCTTGACTCTTCTGTAGTTACATCTTGTATTAAGACAGAGGTTAAAGAAAGTAGTAGTGTAAATATTACAATTAGATCCGGTCGGCACTGCACAAAAAAGCTGAACTAAAACTAACAAAACCATTAATAGTACAATCTAAAACTAAAAGGAAATGAACAGCACATTTTTATATGAAGGAACACTTTTATTGGAAATAGGCTCATTTTACTAGTTGCCTGAAGTTAAACAGTTGAGCTTTAACATTTTTTTTTAACCATTAATCTGATTTCTGGGTCTGACAGGAGCACATTTAGCTTAGCTTAGCATAGATAATTGAATCGGATTAGACCATTAACATCTCCAAAAAAGAGTTTTGACCATTTTCCTATTTAAAGCTTGACTCTTCTGTAGTTACATCGTGTACTAAGACAGAGATTAACGTAAACTGCGTAAATCAGGGGTGCTCAACCCTGTTCCTGGAGATCTACCTTCCTGCAGATTTCAGTTGCTAGCCATTTCAAACACACCTGCCTGTAATTATCAAGTGCTGTTCTGGTCCTAATTAATTGGTTCAGGTGTGTTTGATCAGGGTGAGAGCTCTGTTTTGCAGGAAGGTAGATCTCCAGGAACAGGATTGAGCAGCCCTGGTGTAAATGCTACTATTTGTTCTGTTAACTACAATTAATAAAACTGAAAGTAATTATATAAAAGCTAAATAGACACGTGTTCTGAACTAAACAAAACCAATAAAGGTACAATCTAAAACTAAAATAAAATGAACAGCAAATATTAATATGGAGGAACACTCCACTTTCAATCCATTTAATCCAGTTTTTAATCTATTCAATTGATCTCTGAGACTGACGGGAGCTCGTTTAGCTTAGCTTAGCATATATCATTGAATCGGATTAGACCATTAGCATCTACGAATAAGGAGTTTTTTTTAATAATTTTCCTATTTAAAGCTTTTCTTCTGTAGTTGCATCATGTAACTCTCAGGTGAAATGAAAATTTTCAGTTTTCTAGGGCAATAGGAACTATATCTGGCATAAAAATCATGGGACTGCTACCCAGGGGCGCCCCCAAGGGGTGGCCAGGGGTGGCCACGGCCACCCTTGTGTAAACTCTGGCCACCCCTGTGGCCACCCCAATATGATAGTTGCTGATATTATTAATTTAAATGTATTTACTTAAATTCACAATACTTCAATAAATAAATGAATAAATAAAATGCAGCCACTAAATTATTGTGGATTGATCAGCGCCACTGACGAAGCTGATTCACTGAGATTGCACACTTTTTATTAAGAAATTATTATTTTTGAAATGAGAAAGTTGTGTTTCATCTGATTGAAAACCACAAATCCAAAATAAATAACTAGATGCATTTTGAAATCTGCTTTTCAAAATTTTGTTGGGTTTTGTTTGGTTTATTAATTCATTCATTAATCATATTCATTATTCATAATTCATTAATGTTAGACATGGCATATGTTGTATGTTGTACAAGAAATAACTTACCTGAAAGAGGTTTTAGACTAAATATTGATTTTTATTTGGTTTGCACTTGTACTTGCGGAATAAATTACAATATTTCAAGAGTAATTATTGGAATTCATTAAAACCAAAAACAAAAATATAACATTACTCTTTATTCACAATATATACACAATTCATATTTTTTGTGTGCCACCACAAGATTTGTTGTGGCCTTACTTGGCCACCCCTAAGAAAATTTTCTGGGGGCGCCACTGCTGCTACCGTACCGTGTCTGCAGAAGAGCCAATGAAATTACACAGCACTATTACTATCAGTCACAGTAAAAGAATTGTCACAACCAGGGTTATTTTAGCAAACTAAGAATAAGGGCTCTATTTTGACAGTCAATGCGCAGAGCGCAAAACGCAGGGCACAAATGCTATCAGGGCGTGTCAGAACGCATTTTTGCTAATTTAAGGACGGGAAAATCCGCTTTGCGCCGTAGCGCATGGTCTAAAAGGGTTGAGTTTATTTTCTTAATGAGTTATTGGTGTGTTTTGAGAATAAACCAATCAGAGTCTCATCTCCTATTCCCTTTAAGAGTCAGCTGCATCGTGCCAAGAGCGCATTCGCTATTTACAGGACTCAAAGTAAGTCTAAGTGGAAAAACTGAGCATTTCACTAGCAAACAGTTAACAATTGACAGTTTTTTTAACAGAAAACTGTTGAACAGAGCATCTACTGCGTGAGAATGAGAGATAATGGATCACTTTCACTTTCGCTCTTTGATAGGGAAACCTTTACGCACAGACATCAATTAGCCTATAATTAATTAATTTTGCTTGTTAAGCGCAAATATTCATTCCAAAACTATTTCTAAATTCAGTTCTAATTTACAGCAAACGAAAAAATGAACAGTAATAAAAAAATGTGCTCAAAAACCTGAGTTATATCCTAATACACCTGCCATGCCCCATATGGTCTAAAACCTGACAGGTGGGCAAATCTAAGCTTGTTTTTAATAAAACAAATATAAATATGGATATAATAAATAATACTGCTAATAATAATAACATTATACAAAAGCAAATTGTTATGAATGAACTGAAAAAGCCTCCCGAGATGAAGAAGATATAAAAGCAGGGAGTTTTCATATTTATGTAGGCTAGAAAATAATATGTTTTGTAATATTTTAATCCTTTATATTTATATCCTATATCTGTTCTTATTATATCCTTTATATATCCTTAATATTTACATTTTTTCATATGTAAAGATATTTGCCTATTGCTCTCTTGTGCGTATTAAGCAGTGCGTAAGCGAGGCGCAACTCTGCGCTGGAGTTTAGACCGGGTTAGTTTTGGTCTAATGAAAAATCTATTGTAGTTTCTCAAAATAGCAACGCGCCAGCGGTCCGCCTCAGAACGCCTTCCTTTTTAGACCAGAACGCCTATGGGCGCACAAATGAGCGCTAATGCATTTGCTATTTAAACAACCTAGTGCAACGCCTCAAAACGACTCTTGCGCCAAGCTGAAACTACCAAAAGACTATTGCGCTGCGTCTTGCGCCACACTGCGCCGGGTGTATGATAGGGCCCAAAACCTTTTTGTCAAAAAACATTTTTGTTAACTGAAATAAAATAAAAAAAATACAATAAATGTTAAATAAAACTGATCAAAACGTGTTCGGTTAACTCACAAACTAGAATTACTAAAACGAAATCTAACATAAAAACCTATACAGAAAGGTGTTCACAAAATAAAAGCTAAACTTTAACAACCAAAACCACTATGGAAATAAAAGTAAGCTGCAATGTACGGCAAATTTAAAAATAGTCAAAATAAAAATGCCAAACTATAATAACCTTGGCCACAAAACGCTCATGTTTCCTCCAGATGGGTCGTACCACTGCAATTTTCGGCGGGGGAGCGGAGGACACCATTCCTCAGAAAAGCGCTACAGACGATCGCGGGGTTCACGGAGCGACAGGCCTCGTCTGGAGACTCTGGATGTGGAACGACGGCGGTCCAGTAACAACGCGGATGGAAGCAGAAACACCAGCCTGACCCTGTACTCCAGCCGCTCCAGACACGAGGACTCCTGCTCCACCTGCTCCTCTTCCTCAGACTCAGAGGAGGAAGGCTTCTTTCTGGGCCAGCGCATTCCTCTGCCGCCCCAACTGACAGGACAGAGAGCAGATGAAGGACAGACTGAGGATGAGGAGAAGAGCCAGAGGGGAAGCTTCAGAAGGAGGAGGAGGACGCAGAGTCTCGGCCAAAAAGACAAGGACAAGAACTGCATACTGTCCTGAGAGTGGGACGTACAGTCAAACCAAAATTCATAATATCTAGTGTCTGACTAATTTTTGGTTTGGCTGTATGTGTGTGGGAATGACTGTTAAAACCTGGAGATCAACAACTCTCTGGATAAACCAGCTGCTCTATCAAGAACAAAGTTTGAGTTATATTTTCATGATAAACACAGACCCTATCTTACCGTCTGTGCATCTGTCTACCAGTATTTTAATAGAGGTGATGAAATATAATCTAATATCACTTTCAGGATCAGGGTGCTGGCGTTATTATTACTAATTATTGAGCCGAGGAACATTTCTAATGCAAAAAAGTTGAACTTTTGTTTCTAAAAGTACTCGAAAAACGGATTTAACTGTCATTTCATTTTACATATTACATTTAACAAATATCCTGCATGAAAAATGATTTGACCAATGCATTAAAACATGCGGTGTTTTTGTTTTGACTGTTCCAGTGAACTTACATTTATTTTATTTTATTATTATTTTCATTTGCTTACAAATAACGTAATAGGGTATATGCTAAAGCATGCTAATAGGACCTTTAATTTGCCAGTAACCTTGGTTAAGCGCTTCCGGTGACCTGTATGCCATTGCAAAAATCGACGCGTTTAAGGTCTGTTTTCTTTAAAAATGAGCGATCTCCACTGGCTGAGTGATATCTGATATAAAGTGGGTCTCAGATTGTACAAGAAGCACTGCATTAAATTACATTATTCCCCGGCAAGTCTTATATGAGCATTTATTTTACCCCTGTATATTCAATGGAGCTTCTGCGCTAGCCTGCCGATTCTGACGGGCGAGTACGAGTAAACGGCTTTTTGTCTCGTTTTACGCTTGATTAACTAAATGAATGCCAAAGTTTATTTAACTGATTGTATTTTAAAGACATTACAACATCGATGCTGTATAAGAAACTGTATAAAATGGAAAAAAAATCACAATAACGGGTCACCGGAAATTTATTAGTATGGGAACAACACTAGCTCAGCATATACCCTATTAATAACCTTACAAAAGTATATGGGAAATTTTTTTTGTTTTAAAATCAATCCAAACGAAAACACTACAAAAGTGCTGTTTGACCCAGCACTTATAGTCTGTGTGAAATTAAAATGGACAATGTTTATTTTGCAAATGAGGTGTACAATTAATCTCTACGAGTTAATCCACTGGAAAAAAGTTTGCTTCTGCATTTGGAGTGCCTGTGTCCTGACACTTTATCCTTACCATCAGATTATGCTACCCTCACTGTATTTGAATGGTTATGAGATTGGGGGTTAGGGATTAAAAATTGGGGCCGGTATAAGATTCTGACGGTATGATAACCTTGGATAAAAATTCACGGTTTCACGGTATTATGATTACTGCTCTAAAATATATTTTCTTTTTAAATGTCTGGGTAAAAAATTATATTTTTTCTCCTTTGAACATAATATATTTTTTTTTGAGATACATTTAAGATATTTTGGAACAGTAAACTTGTCAGGCTAAATGAAGTGTTCACTTCTTTTGTCAATTTCTTTTTCTTTTTTACAAATTAATCTTTTTTGCTGGAGATACTGTTGTCCCAAAAAAAAAAAAACTAAAACTAAACATCTTACTCATACCATAGGAACGGTATTGCAGAAAAAAAGAGACGGTTTTAAAACCTTGACTTTTCCAAATCGATGTATACGGTTATCCCATGCCTAGTATGCTCCAGTACAGCCTGCGCGTGTATGGATATCCCACCTCTGATGCGCACCTCTCAAACAATGTAACTACACGTCGACGTGAAGCGCAAGCTCTGTGATTGGTCGATTTGGTAGCGATGACGAGTGTGGTTGGGACCGAGAGGCGGGCGAGGACGATGAGGCAAGTGTTTACAAGTGTCGAGTCTCTTGAAGGAGCTCCAAATGGGAAAGTGTGTTTTTGTGCTTACCTTATGATTAAAGTTGTTGCACGTCCGCCAGTTCCCACCTCAAAATAAGCGAGTTTTAGCTATTTGTTCATTAAGGTTTAGAAGTAACAAAACACCTGCGAAAAAACTCGATACAGAGGAACGTAAACACCTACTGCCGCTGGCATTTCGAAAGTATTATTGCAGATCAACACAAACAGCATGCGGAAGTATAACAGCACGACAACGCGCAAGGCATGCGCCGTGGGTCACGCGATCACCCGACACAGAAGTATAAACCAGGCTTATGTGGGTAACGCCCCATTCACACAGGGCTTCAGCGTCAATGCTTGACAGAGGGTGTGTCTAAGGTTGGGGCTGACGCGATCGTCATAGCAGCGTCAGCCAATAAAATTAGTCAGCAATAGGCCACTGTCTGAGCTGGTGTGTTTGCATACAGCAATCTGATTGGCTGACGCTTACGTCGGCGCTTGAAAAGTTGAGCAAGTCCCAACTTCTGCTGCGAGCAATGCCTCTGAAGCGGCGCCGACAGATCCACAATGAAGTTCGGCAACGCCTGACGTCACCCATTCAAAGTGAATGGTAAGCATTGAAGCTGACGCCTCATGCGAATGGGGAGTTAGAGCGATATTACAGCTTCATGTCACACTACTCTGCATTAAAATTTACACTAGTAGCAAAATCTGATAGGTAGCGTATTGTGTCATCAAAATGTGCCACCTACTTTTTAAATGGGAGGTAGGACAATTTAACAAAGGTTGGACAAATCGACAGAACACAGGTTCTTCCATATTGACATCAGTTTGACCACACCCCTCTTACCATTCATTTGCTATGATAGGATGATACACAAAAAGAAAGTCCTGCCCCCTACCCAATATTTTGTTTCAGTTGAAAGTACATCAACACTAAAATAAAAGTCCCAGTTACTTCATGCAGTCTTAGCAGCACACTTTGCTCAATGCAGTTTTTTGATTGGTGGATTGTCTGTACAGCATCATGGGTAATGTAGTTTTCTGCACTGTTAAACATTATTAACAAGCTCATTGCTCACATGTCTGTTTTTAAAGGGATGGTTCACCCGGAAATTAAATTTCTGTCATCATTACTCATCTTTATGTAGTTCTCTCTTTTGTTAAACACAAAAGAAGATATTTCGAAAAATGCTGGCAGCCTGCAACCACTGACTTCCGTACTTTTTATTTTTTCCAATGGAAGTCAATAGTCATTTTGCTTTCTTCAAAATATCATCTGCTGAACAAAGAAACTTGTAAATGTTTGAAACCACTCGAGAGAGAGTAAATAGTGAGTACATTTTCATTTTTGGGTGAACTATCCCTTTAAAGCAGGCATGTCCAAACTACGGCCCGCGGGCCATCTGCGGCCCGCAATCAGTTTTTTGGCGGCCCGCGAGGCTTTTTATAAATATCAATAGAATCTGGCCCGCTATACAAAAATGAACGTAATTCAAAAAATAACCACCGGGTATCGCTATTACATGCATTCAATTAAGCAGCAGTTCTTGTTATGATCTATCTGTCTGCCTGTCTGTCTGTCGGTATGTCTGTCTGTCTGTCTATCTATCTATCTATCTATCTATCTATCTATCTATCTATCTATCTATCTATCTATCTATCTATCTATCTATCTATCTATCTATCTATCTATCTATCTATCTGTCTATCTATCTATCTATCTATCTATCTATCTATCTATCTATCTACACACAGTTGAAGTCTGAATTATTAGCCCCTCTTTGATTTATTTCTTCTTTTTTAAATATTTCCCAAATGATGTTTAACAGAGCAAGGACATTTTTACAGTATGTCTGATAATATTTTTTTCTTTTGGAGAAAGACTTTTGTTTTATTTCGGCTAGAATAAAAAGCGGTTTAAATTTTTTTTATGAACCATTTTAAGGTCAATATTATTAGCCCCTTAAGTCTTCAGAACAAACCATTGTTATAAAATAACTTGCCTAATTACCTTAACTTAACAAGTTAACTTGCTTAACCTAGTTAAGCCTTTAAATGTCACTTTAAGCTGTATAGAAGTATCTTAAAAATATCCAGTCAAATATTATTTACTGTCATCATGGCAAAGATAAAATAAATCAGTTATTAGAAATGAGTTACTAAAACTAATATGTTTAGAAATGTGTGGAAAAAAATCTTTTCTCCGTTAAACAGAAATTGGGGAAAAAATAAACGGGGTCTAATAATTTAGGGGGGCTAACAATTCTGACTTCAACTGTATTTATATATATATATATATATATATATATATATATATATATATATATATATATATATATATATATATATATATATATATATATATATATATATATGCGTATCTGTGTGATGTATGTAAAATTTGGCGCGCGACAACGTTTGTTTTTTTGCATCTGGCCCTCGGCCCAAAAAGTTTGGACACCCCTGCTTTAAAGGGAATTGGTTATTGTTAAAAATCGATTTCCCTATGGAGATTTTACTATTGTTTCACTCTTCAGAGATTAAAGTCAGTCTGGGTCTCGTATATTCATGAATATTCGTGTAGGTTTCAACAGATATTTTGAGAGGGGTCTGGATGCAGACCTGGTGCAGAGCAATCTGAGCTGCATCCAATGCTTTTTAATGGGCTCACCTAACCCCACCCCTCAGAGTGACGTCACTCGCTCCATTTGAGTGCATTGTGTCTGACATTGCATCGCTGAGTGATGCAATCTCAGCTTACATCATAAAGGCTGCATCCAGATACTTTTGGATATTTTTGCCGAAAAATTCAAAACAAGATCACAGAATTCAGGGTCAAAGCTGTTGTGATTTGGATGCTGTTCCTAGTACAGTAAATACAGTACAGTTTGACAAAATATTCATCCTATATTCAATATATGAGTAAAGATCATTGCATTCATTTAGCAAAGCCAGTTTAATATCACATACTGTACTTTTAATTTTATTTAACCCCTGAATCCCCAATAAAGCCATAGTACAAGTTAGCACATTAGTGCTTAATCTGAACCAGACTATTTTAACAAGTGTATAGCTGTTGCTGGTTGGACTGGTTTTGAAAGGACTGTGTAATTTGCACTTGTTGATGGTTCAAGAAGTGAAACTTTTTGAAATGCAAATACAGTGTTTTGGTGTTATTGGATTTAGTCAAAACTACAGGCCGTATCGTAACAATGTGGGAAAGACAATATCATCTGTGTCTCCTCATCGACTGTATTATATGTAAATATTGACACGCGAAACCTCTCTGTGTGTAAATGAGAGCTTAAAAAAAGACACGTGACTTCACTGTGTGTTTTACACAATACAGATCAAACGATTGTATGCTAGAATTGTATTTTTATATAAACAAGGTGATGGTTTTATATTCTTGTTGAGATGCTTTCTGGCTTAATATAATATAGAAACTTTTAAAAAGTTTTCTTGTTGAATGGGAAAAAATAAAACACCAAAACCTAAACATTGCACTTTTTTTGTTGTATTTAAGCTTTTTAGACTTTAAGCTTTTTAACAAATCATATACACTCACCGGCCGCTTTATTAGGTACACCTGTCTAACTGCTCGTTAACGCAAATTTCTAATCAGCCAATCACAGTCACACACACTCAATGCAGACATGGTCAAGACGATCTGCTGAAGTTCAAACCGAGCATCAGAATGGGGAAGAAAGGTGATTTAAGTGACTTTGAATGTGGCATGGTTGTTTGTGTCAGATGGGCTGGTCTGAGTATTTCAGATACTGCTGATCTACTGGGATTTTCACGCACAACCATCTCTAGGGTTTAAAGAGAATGGTCCGAAAAAGAAAATATCCAGTGAGAGGCAGTTCTGTGGGCGCACATGCCTTGTTGATGCCAGAGGTCAGAGAGAATGGCCAGACTGGTTTCAGCTGATAGAAAGACAACAGTAACTCAAATAAGCACTTGTAACAACTAAAGTCTGCAGAAGAGCATCTCTGAATGCACAACACGTTCAACCTTGAGGCAGATGGACTACAGCAGCTGAAGACCACACCGGGTGCCGCTCCTGTCAGCTAAGAACAGGAAACTGAGGCTGCAAATCACACAGGATCACTAAAATTGGACAATAGAAGATTGGAAACGTTGCCTGGTCTGATGAGTCTTGATTTCTGCTACAACATTCGGATGGTAGGGTTAAAATTTGGAAAGCACGGATCCATCCTGCCTTGTATCAACGGTTCAGGCAGGAGGTGGTGGTGGTGTAAAAGTGTGGGGTATATTTTCTTGGCACACTTTGGGCACATTAGTACCAATTGAACAGCCTGCCTGAGTATTGTTGCTGCCCATATCCCGCCCTTTATGACCACAGTGTACCCATCTTCTGATGGCTACTTCCAGCAGGATAATGCGTCATGTCATAAAGCGCTAATCATCTCAGACTGGTTTCACTGTGCTCAAAATGGCCTCCTCAGTCACCAGATCTAAATCCATCAGAGCACCTTTGGGATGTGTAAGAGATTCACATTATGGATGTGCAGCCGACAAATCTGCAGCAATTGCGTGATGATGCTATTATCTAAATATGGACCAAAGTCTCTGATATTTCCAGTATTTTGTTGAATCTATGCCACGAAGAATTAAGGAGTTGGTCCAACAAAGTACTAGTAAGGTGTACCTAATAAAGTGGCGTGTGTGTGTATATGTATGTATATGTATATGTATATATATATATATATATATATATATATATATATATATATATATATTACAAGTTGTTCAATTTTTAATAAAACGTAAGTCATATGTAGGGTATTAAACAAATATTATTTTTCCATTATATTTAGCATAATGATTTATAGTTATAGTTATATTTTTAATAAAAGAAGTAATAAGTACAATATACTAAATTACTTGATTTAAAAAGTCATACATTTATGTATGCATAAATGTTAATAGACAAATATAGTAAATTATATATTTTTTTACATGCAAAACTGCATAAATAAATATGAATATGCATAAAATAATTATGAATGGTTAAACAGTGTTACATCTTATGCAGAAATGTATGGGTTGCTTTTATTTATAAACTTTTATAAACATATTGAATATATAAATATAAATTAATAATAATTAATTTGATTATAATTAATATAATTATGTACATGAATAAAAATCAATATAAGCAAATATTTTCCCAGTGTTGGGTTGCAACTCCAAGGGCATCCGCTGCATAAAACGTGCTGGACAAATTGGCGGTTCATTCCGCTGTGGCGACCCATCACCCCCACCCCCCGAATTAATAAAGGGACTAAGACGAAAAAAATGAATGAATGAATGAATAAACGGATATTAATAAAATAAACAAAAAAAATTGGTTTTGTATTCATTTATTTGACAGCATCGGGCTCAATGACTGATTTTCTCCCTTCTTTGTCAACTTCTCGTTTGTGTAAATAAATAATAAGTGATAAATAATCACAAAATATAATTTGAATCCAAGTTTAAGTACCAGTCTTAAATAGCGCATTATTTGATGTGAAACGGCTTTAAAGTTTCTTTTCTCCATGAATTGAACAGCATTTGACAATTGCAGACAAAAGGTGGCACGAGAATATTCTCAAGGAAAAAGTTTTGTGTGTGTGTGTGTGTGTGTGTGTGTGTGTGTGTGTGTGTGTGTGTGTGTGTGTGTGTGTGTGTGTGTGTGTGTGTGTGTGTGTGTGTGTGTGTGCGTGTGTGTGTGTGTGCGTGCGTGTGTGTGTGCGTGTGTGTGTGCGTGCGTGTTTGTGTGCGTGCGTGCGTGCGTGCGTGCGTGCGTGCGTGCGTGCGTGCGTGCGTGCGTGCGTGCGTGCGTGCGTGCGTGCGTGCGTGCGTGTGTGCGTGTGCGTGTGCGTGTGCGTGTGTGTGTGTGTGTGTGTGTGTGTGTGTTAGTGTTATCAGGTGGCTCACACCACACTTCCTGCTTCCCCAATGAATTTCTGATTGGATGGAGCAAGAAAAAAGGGCAGGAGGAGTGTGTGTGAGGAAAGAGTCAAACCGGTCGGGCAAGTTTTACTTTCTTCTTAAAACACAAACACACGCGTCCACCATCTGTCCTGTGCAATACTGTTGTCAGACATCTTTAAAAGAACACACACATCACTGACAAACAACAAAACACACATTAACATTACAGGTTAAACTCGGACTCACAAAGCGTCAAAGGAATCCCGTGCTGTGGAGTTTCAGAGGAGACACAGGTAAGTGCTTGGCTGCGTGTGTGTTTAATTAGTGTTTCAATGCAGTCTATCTTCAAACAACGTTGCTTACACTTTCTTCACTCTGTTGTCTGTCTGTTTCTCTTTCTAATTCCTCATAACTGTTGTTGTGATTCTAGACATAATCCTGGATCATGTAGAGACATGTTGTGTCCCGTCCCGACAATCTGTAAGTCAAATCTTGTGTCCCATTTATTCGCTGACCTGATTTTGTTTCTCCTGCCTCAAGGGGTTGAATTAATATTCACTAAATATCTTGAAGTATACGAGTGTTTTTGTTTGTAAAACTGACAGAAATGAAAGAGTGAGTCCAGAAAGATCGATTAATTTATTTGTTGAAGGATTAATCCTCCATGTTGTTTTTGGTAATCTCCATGTAGATTTTGGTATACACCATTCGTCCGTCGTGTCAAAAAATTACCCGCCTTCACCAAACCTCTAAAATAAAGCAGCTAAATTTAATTTCAATCCTCAAATTTGGATTTTTTTATAAAGAAATAACCCTATCTTCGTCACAAACTACAAATATTTTGGTTTTCCTTCATCAGTGTGGAGTTTTTCGCCAATGTTTACTTGGTGGGCAACACTCGTTTTTGACGAAAGTAAATAGTATATTGTCTAATGCTAACAGTACCAGCACAAGTGAAAACGTTTTAGTAAGACAGTAGGCCTATTATTGAGGTAAAGTTGGTTTTATATTTGGACAGTCATTGTTTTTTGAACAGTGGCAACTTGCGAGACTATATAGTTGTTGAGGTCAATTTAGTTTTGAGCAATTCCATGCAAATGTCAACATTGCCATGAAAAATTGACGGTTTCACCAAAATACAGAAACAGTTTCTATTGTTTTTGTGTAAACAAGTATTTTACAGTACTTCAGAAATACTCAAAAATGTGTCTGGTAAATCAAATATAAAAGTTTGAAAACACTGACAGTCACACAAGTGGCAATTTCACATCGGTCACATCCATAACGGAGAGACGTCACATCCATAACAACATTTTTTCCTCATGAATGCAAAAATGTCAAATAAAATCAACAATTTTTGTTCTATAGTGAGCCAACTCCTTTCCTTTTGATTAGCATCATTTCATTTGGGTTGTGCAGTTTAATTCACTGAATTTCTACGAAGAGTGTTGTATACTGCAAACTCACAGACTTTTTTTTTTGTCACATCCATAGCGCATGTTTATTTCCCTCATTTAAAGTCTTTGCAGATTGATATTTTTTCTGATCCCATAACTCTGTGGTTAGTTGTTTTGGAAAATATAAACGGATGTTTCAATAATACTTTCTCTGTGAATTTATGTTTTGAGTTGTTACTCCAAATGTCACATCCAAAACGCTGGGAATGCACTCTTATATTCGCACATTCGTTCGTTTTTTTAAATAGTGACAACTTGTGATGTTGTCCCTATATTGTTTTTGAGGTAGAGTTGGTTTTATATTCGCACATTCCTTATGTTTTTAACAGTGACAACTTGTGGCATTGTCCCTGTATCGTTATTGAGGTAAAATTAGTTTATTATTTGCACATTCAATAATTTTTTAATCGTGACAACTTGATGCTTTCCCTAAATTGTTATTGAGGTAAAGTTGGTTTAACATTGCACATTTGTTCATTTTTATAACAGTGACAACTTGTGACATTGCACCTAAATAGTTATTGAGGTAAATTTGGCTTTAAATTGCCACATTTGTTCATTTTTTGAACAGTGGCAACTTGTGAAATTGTCCCTACATAGTCATTGAGGTGAGGTTGGTATTATATTCCCACTTTCATTCTTTTTTTTTAATAGTGGCAACTTGTAAAACTGTCCATATATTGTTATTGAGATAGTTAGTTTTATATTCGCACATTCGTTAATTTTTTGACCGGCAACAACTTGCGGCATTGTCCCTGTATTGTTATTCAGGTAAAATTAGATTTATATTCACACATTTGTTAATTTTTTTAACAGTGACAACTTGACACATTCCCTGTATTGTTATTGAGGTAAAGATGGTTTTATATTTAAACATTCATTTACTTTTTTGAGCAGTGCAACTTGTGAGATGGTTGTATTGTTATAAGGTAAAATTGGTTTTATACTAGCACATTTGTTCACTTTTGAACAGTGATAACTTGTGATTTGATCCCTGTATTGTTTACCACACTACTTTGAATATTCTGCCTGAAATTGAATGTCAATAAGAAACCACATTAGCATTATTTAATTGACAGTGAACAATGTTGTGCTACTTTGATAGTCTGCTTATGATTTCCCTATGTAGACTTGGCAAAGAATCCCTTTCTGAAATTATATTATTGAGAAAAGTCTGAATGTGCAAATATAAAACCAACTTTACCAATGTCAAAAATTGCAATGAAGGACAACTGTTGTGTCCTAAATGTGTACAGCCTATGTGAAAATAGAAAACTATACCTGATTTTTCCTAACGTTGGGATAATGTTAAGAAAAGTCACCACATTTCAAAAGTTGTTGTTTTGTTTTTTGCTGTTAAAATGATGCATGGGTCGTTTTTGACCCATTAGTCAACAGGATAGAGGAGGATGTAATAATAACGCACAGATCATAAAAGACAGGAAATGATAAAGAGTGGATGCACTTTAACCTGAGGTGGAGTGCAGGCTACATGTTGAAGGAATGTGAGCTGGTATGTTCATGTCCTGAGCCTAAGTGAAAGTGTCTTCGGTTATATGATAAAAGAAGGACTGGTGTCATTTATTAACACCACTAAAGGGTAAATATCCCGTGTGAGACATTTTAGAAAGTCCCTTGGGTTAACCAGTGACTTCAGTGTTACATTTCTACCGGAGGTCACATTCCTGGGTGAGCATGTAAAATGTGTCACGGTCTCAGATAAATGTTTTCATTGTGGGATGCTGATTTGATGAATGGAGCTTAGAAATGGATTTCAGTTTGTTTTACCATAACATTATATAGTATTCACTTACATATTCATCAGAAATAAAAGCAAGGGTAGGGCTGCACGATTCTGTCAAAAGTGTGAATCACATTTTTTTTTTTCGCTTAAAATCAAGATCACGATTTTCTCAGGATTCTGTAAATGTAAAATAAAGGTTAAAATGAGTAGCCTGTTATTATTATTAATTCTCAAACATATGGTTTGATAATGATAATATTCGGCCAATGTGTAGGTCTACTGTTGGTTAAAATGCTAACTTTTGTATAGTCATTATGGTAGACTTGAACAGACTTTCAATATGTCCTGTTTTGTTAATTCACAGTAAAATTATGACATCAGAATACAACTATTCATAATTATAAAGTAGATTTATTATGTTTAAGACATGTGCTTGTCATCTGTCATTACCAACAATATTAGACCATTTGTTGAAGTTTGTCATTATCAGATCTCTTCTTGCATTATATTCAACATTATATATAGGCTAGGGTTGTTCTACTGACACAGTAAGCATTTATTTTCATGCACAACACTGTGTTAGCTATGAAAGTAAAAACATCAAATGCTTGTCGTAATCATTGTAAAATGCGAAATAATCATTTAAATGTGCGCACAGGTTTCACTTTCACTTCCGAGTATGGCTCATGGCTGCTGTCACTGTGAGAAAAAACGCATACATGCAAACCAGACCTCCCGCACGGCCCTCAAAGAATCGCTCTGTGCAACAAATTGAACAACTTCATTACCTGTTATTTACAGCCTATGCAGGTTGTTTTCACTAAAGTAGGCATCATGCATGCACGCGCACGTTCTCTGTTGTAAACAAACAGTTCGCGGTCAACTCGTATGTGATTTAGGATATACCTTATAAATACAGTATTTGACACTTTTAAGTTGTCAATGTTGCTGTGAAGACTTGTGCGGCTGCCTTGCTTGTCTTCTGACCTTAAAAATATAATTGGCTGAATTGTAGAAAAGCAGAATTAAGATCGTGTGTAGGTTCGAATCGAGATCGTGATCTTTTCTTCGATTATTCGTGCAGCCCTAGTCAAGGGTGTGTTTACAGTGTGTATACGTTTGGTTCAGTTAAATGGTCATTAAACCGAAACGACTTCTTTAATTAAATTTTTTTTTTTTTGTTCTCAGTTAGCTTGATACTATTAATTCATCAATTGCACTTGTTTATTACCTTTATGTATTTTATAAGCACTTCATTAGGCAAGGGAAGTATATTTAGTTGGCACATTTCATAAACAATGGTAATTCAAAGTGCTTTACATAAATAGAAATGAAAGAAACAAGTATAAGAAATAAAAACGGAGAGTAGAAATGAACAACAGAAAACAGTAGAAAACAGGTTTTAAAAGTATTAAAAATGAAAGAATGGCATAATAGTGTGATCTATCGGAAGTAGCACAGTGCTCATTCAGTAAAGGCACAGCTAAACAGATGAAACAGGCCCGGATTGGCTATCGGGAGGACCGGGAGCATTCCCGGTGGGCCGGTCCGTTTTTTGGCCGCGAGGGCCGGTGTCCCTAGTTCCAGAATCGGTTGCTCTCAGCAGTCACACTTTTTAAAAATAATTTATTTATTTACTTGACCACAGCCTTCTTATTCATTATTTTACCGCAGCTCTGCTCTTTTTATCTATTTTCTCGTAGCCTCGTGAGCAGGATGCAGGTTAATGATGATATAACTAGATAAGTCACCGTTACGCGTACAGCTGTTGTGGTACAGTGGTTAGAACGTTAGATTATGACGCGGCCAACCTGCGTTCGGTCCTTGTCTGAGTAACAATTTTTTTTTTTTTTTCATTTTTATTGTTAAGACATAATACTGTAGGGGTTGTTTAACATTAAAAGTTCTAAAAGTGCTGTTTTCTCAAAAAAAGACGTGATAGTGTCATTAGAAACTGAATTGATAATAACCTTATTTTAATATAGTCAGTGGTGAACTGAGGTGGGCCGGTCTGATGCTTGAAACTCCAGGGCTGGAAAAGAGTCCCACTCCGGCCCTGAGATGAAACATCAGATACCAGTTGATAAAACTACCACCGCATGACTAAATGTTTTGTTTTTCCAGAGAGAACCAGCATAGATAAGTGAGCACACTAAGAGAATGTTGGTGTTTTGTTTTTCATTAATATTCTAGATGATACTGGTATCATTTTAGCCACTGCTAATGGAGTCTTCTGAGAAAGGCTTCATAATGGGTAAAGGCCATTCCTGACTACACATCAACAGACTTAATAGCTAATTAGGAGTGTTTGCTAAAGGAAGTATTTCTTTTACTATCACTCATACTTTGGGTTGAAGATTTGAACAAACCCCTGAGCATGAGTATTTCATTCAGTCATATACTGTTGGTGCCACAGACATGAGTGAAAACTCCCAATTTGCAGCTTGTTGAAGAGATGGCCCTATGGAGCCAAGATTTTCATGAAAATTGAATTTCAATGGAAATTCAAGCTTTGAATGGATATAACCATAAGTGACCAAAGCAATTCAATTGTACTGTCAGTATGATTGAGCCGCGCTGTGAAAGGTTTATAGTTGGATCCAACAATTTATATATTTTTACTCCAATTTTTTTTACTTGTACTTTTACTCTATGCTGATATTTAGTTAAAGTTCTTATCTGCTTAAGTCTTAACAAGGATTACTGATTTAGGGTTGTTCAATTGAAAATACCGTCTAAACCAAAGGTCTGCATAGTTTAACTCCAACCACCTCCAACTCACACCTGCTTAATAGTCTTGAACACCTTGATTGGTTTGATCAGCTGTGTTTGTTTAGGGTTGGAGCAAAACTGTGCTGAGCTGTGGGAATCCAGTTTAAGACCAATGATCAAAACGTATGAAGGGTTCAGATGCAAAAACCTCTAAATACCATTTGATATTTTCTTCTAAACTGAGCATTTTTCTCCTGTATCTGTGGTTACACTCAGTAAACAGCAGTGAGTTTGTTGTACTGATGACCTTCACGGCCAATCACGGTCATTTCTGTTGAGCATGTTAACGCCATGGCAGAGCTGTTTTAGAACGAGCTCAAAAGCGCTCAAATGTTAGCGGGAAATTGATGTTTTTAAAATTTCAGTACCGATTGGTATCGAATTTCAGCATCACAACACTAGTTGCAACACACACAACAGGTTTTACTTCAGATAAGAAAGTAAATGGATTGTAATTTGTTAAATCTTTTGTTTATCTTGATTTGTCGCAACTTATGTTGATTTTCTGGTAAAGTCAGCATGGACTGCCTCACTGTTAGACCCACATGCATCCACAGTCATACACAAAGACAAACCATCTAGTTTAGGATTTTTGCTGAATTAAAACTACATTCAGATGTTCTTATGTTTTTTTTTTTCAAACCATATTGTACATCCCATTTGCAATACACGTAAGAAGGAACCATTCTTTGATATATTTGCATCTTGAAAATGAAAAAGAAAGATGAGCAGCACTAGAACAGCACCAGGATGAGGAAGTAACTCCGTTTTTATTTTTGTGTAAACAACCTCATTAAAGCCCTCTAATAATGACCCTGATTTATCTAATGATCCCCAAGAAAACTAGTCCTGTACGAATAGGGTTAAATGTATTTATTTTTGTTAAGTTAGGGTCTCTAGGCTCATGGCGTCCAAGAAACCAGTATTTAATAAGTAATAAACAATATGTTACAGGGCTCGAAATTAACTTTTTTACTTGGTAGCACCGGTGCTCCCAACTTCAAATATTTAGGAGCACAAAAAATTTTTTAGGAGCACCAGAAAAAATTTAGGAGCACCCACCAAAAAAGAATGAGCACCGCTGCAAATTGACTTTTTAAAGGGATTTATTGTATTTTAAAACAACATTAATAGGACTGACAAAAACCAGAAACAGCTATCTAACTAATGCTGCGAAGATATTGATATTTGTGTGCAATAATTCCAAAATGAATGTCTAATAATTAGGCCATAGAATATTAATGATGATAAAAAATGACAATAATAGTAACAATGAATTCCATTTCGCATTATGATACTGTCTTGAATGTGCATGAATGTAGGTTATCTGCTATAAAAAGTCTGTTACTTTATGAAAAATAATTGTATAGTTTGCATCAAACAAAAATGAAGCAATATTTATTTTGTACTGCTGTTTTTATATGCATGTCAATTTAATAAATAATATTTCTGCTACAAAACAAACAAAAGATTATAATAAATCATTCAATTCAATGATGAAAGCTGCAAAGCAGTCATCAGTAAATAAATATAAAAATAATATACACCTCAAAAAAGAATAGACAAAAGAAAGTAAAGTCTCACTTCTATCACTCTTTAAAAGTTTTGGTTTCAGTTTGTCAATTTAAAGGTTCAGTCTGAGCTGATCTCATTTTTCTGTGTTAGTGGAAAAGCTGGCGAGTCAGCCGACCCAATTTATGAGCAGGCAGAGCAGGATTCTTGCGCTAACCATTGGCGCAATACCGGTCTTTGTTATGAGCCGCAGTTTCAGTGTAAACTTAGTAAAGGCGAGCTTCTTTGGTGATTATATGTACAGTATTAGATTTGAGTTTTAGCGGACATTTGCGCTGAACACGCAGTGAATGCGACGCATGGAGATTCGGGCACCTTCTCCATGAAGCGCGTACTCGATTGATCTCAACTGGCGGATCATTATTCACCACGTGACGCGTCATGATCGCTTTCATCTGAGCCTCAACTTTAGGTGGGGTTTGCAAACCTGTGTGCTTTAAGTTTTTACTCTTCAGCCGTTTGCATTTCCCGTGGTCATAAAAGCTCCTTCCCTGTCATCTGACAGCGGAATACCTTGAGTGAATGACAGCTAATATGAACCAATATAGCGGCAGGGAAGAGCGATTCAGCACGTTTTTAGAAAAAACCAAAACAGGTCGCACTACAACCATTATCTGCAGTCGCAGTAATGCTCCCATATATATTATGAGGTCGCATAGATTAATTTTCGGGCGCATATGCGACCAAAATGGTCGCAATTTCGAGCCCTGTGTTAGCAGTTTGATTTTAGGGTTTTGGAATGTGAATGCATGTTTTGACCTGGAAAGCTTGACATTTCATCAGACTAAACAACCCAACACAGACTTTAGAGTGGGCTTGGGCCATTAAACGTAAATTATTACTCATAATCAAAAACTTGGCCACATTATAAAAACCCAATACCTTAGCAACCACATTGCAATGCCCTGGCAACCACCCACAAACTACTCCTTAATATTGTGGTTTCTGACTTGCGCAGGCAAGCAGCACACAAAATTCCTACAACAAGTGTAAGAATCTGCTTTATATAACCAGTTGTTGAAGTGGGTGTACCTAGAAAAGGAAGCAGTCTTGCAATGATCTGTTTGTCATGATAATTTCTGTTCCCGCAGGTATCAAAACATGAACCCAGTGTGTTTATTGCATTAATGTGGAAGCATACTGATCCATTCATCTACCTCCAAGCAAGCCTGTGCTGAGAAAAAGAAACCAAGCACGTTTTTCATTTTTAAAGATGTCAGCTGACACTCTACAGCCTTCTCCAAGGAGAATAACAAGGCTGGCTCCAGCTCCTGGCACACCAAGTCGAAACTTAGAGTTTGGTTGTCCTGTCAAATCATCTCCTGGGACACGCAAACCAAGTGCAGTGGAACGTTTGGAGGCAGACAAGGCCAAATACGTCAAGAGCCAGCAGGTGGCTTTAAATAAGCAGCAGCCAGTGATTTCTTCCACCAGCAACAGCCAGAATGCTGCTCAACAGCCATCCAGAAAGATCCTTGCTAGACCCGTCAAGGCAGAGACACCACCCCTTAACATGGAGCATCTCTGCAAACTGATTAATGGAGTTAGTGATACCACCACCATCCCAGTAGTTTCTTCGCAAGTCAACGACACTAGTAATGCCCAAGATGATGTAGACCAATCCAAGAACATCTCTGCAACACTGGAAGACACTTCTGTTGGGTCAACTACAATGAGTCAGGGAAAACCTGCAGTGGAAACTCCCACCATGACCGTGCGGAGAGTCGATGTCAGGCCGCAGTTGCCTCAAATGAGGATGCCTAGTAGACCACCAATCCAGAGCCGCTCACCGGCTCAACAAACCATCCCAATACAACTCCTGCGCATGCTCAGACCGTACACACAACCAAATCAGCAAACATTCGATTTCAAAAGACTCCATAATGTTACAAATGTCACCCGAGGACCTATTAAGCCACCAAACAGCCCTGCGCTAATCTCACCTTCTTCTAACTCTCCATCTCTACCTCCCTCTTCAAACTCTCCATCTCTACCTCCCTCCACAAAAACAAACACGGAACCATTATCGTCTCCCACTCCAATTACTCCACCCGCCGTTGCTTCATTACTTGCCAAAAATGACTCTCAGTCCCCTCCATCTCCAGCCTTCACTCGACACTCCTCCACAAGCTCCAGGAAGCGTCCGTCATTGACGCGCTCGAAATCTGACGTCAGCGACTGCTTTTCACGAGCGGGGGCAGAACTTGAACGCTTCTTCAATTATTGTGGTCTCGACCCGTCGGATATTGATGAACTTGCAAGACCAGGTTCCGACATTGTGTCTGTTTCTCGTCTTCGTAGCGCCAGTGCTCCAGCATCCGAGCGCACAGCTGAGGGTGAAGATGAGGATGAAGAAGCTGCAAAAGACGACCGTCCTGCTTACGGTGTTTCCGTCATTGAGAGAAACGCTCGAGTGATCAAGTGGCTTTATGGAATGCGTCAAGCCAAAGAGAGTCCCAAAGTGGCCAGTATGTAGCAACGACAAGCAACTGATAGGGCTGGGAGGATAAATTGATGCGTTGCGAATAATGATTCTGCATCGATTCTTAATCTTTCTGATGGCATTACAACTCTCTCTTGAATGGATTCTGAGCTTAGTGTTTACCACCAGTTGGCGCTGTATGCTTTATAAACTCTCACACCCAGCCAATCCTCCATGCCATCTCATGTAACTAGTCGAGAGGGCCATCTGTTGTTAAATACTAGCCTAGAGAGTGCCACCTGCTGTTAAAGACTAGCCTAGAGAGCACCACCTGCTTTCAAAATTTAGTCTAGAGCACCTTCTGCTGTTAAACACTAGCCTAGAGAGCCTTCTGGTGTTCAAAAGCTATAGCGCAGAGCAGCATCTGCTGTTTATAATATAGCAAAGATCCCCATCTGTTGTTAAACTAGCCTAGAGCACCATCTGCTGTAACTAGCCTAGAGCGCCATCTGCTATTTTAAAACCTAGCCTAGAGCGCCACCTGCTGTTAAACTAGCCTAAGGCACTATCTGCTGTAACTAGCCTAGAGCGCCACCTGCTGTTAAAAACTAGCCTTGAGCACCACCTGCTGTTAAAAACTAGCCTATAGCGCCACCTGCTGTTAAAAACTAGCCTGGAGCACCACCTGCTGTTAAAAGTATCCTATCCTGCTGTTAGAAACAAGCCTAGAGTGTCACCTGCTGTTAAAAACTAGCCTAGCCTGCTGTTAGAAATCAACCTAGAGTGCCACCTGCTGTTAAAAACTAGCCTAGAGCGCCATCTGTCGTTAAAACTAGCCTAGAGCGACATCTGCTGGTTTAAACTAGCCTAGAGCGCCACCTGCTGTTAAAAACTAGCCTAGCCTGCTGTTAGAAACTAGCCTAGAGTGCCACCTGCTGGTAAAACCTAGCCTAGAGCGCCATCTGCTGGTAAAAACAAGCCTAGAGCGACATCTGCTGGTAAAAACTAGCCTAGAGCGCCACCTGCTGTAAAAAACTAGCCTAGCCTGCTGTTAGAAACTAGCCTAGAGTGCCACCTGCTGGTAAAACCTAGCCTAGAGCGCCATCTGCTGGTAAAAACTAGCCTAGAGTGCCATCTGCTGGTAAAAACTAGCCTAGCCTGCTGTTAGAAACTAGCCTAGAGTGCCACCTGCTGGTAAAACCTAGCCTAGAGCGCCATCTGCTGGTAAAAACTAGTCTAGAGCGCCATCTGCTGGTAAAAACTAGCCTAGAGCGCCACCTGCTGTTAAAAACTAGCCTAGAGCGCCACCTGCTGTGAAAAACTAGCCTAGAGCGCCACCTGCTGTTAAAAACTAGCCTAGCCTGCTGTTAGAAACTAGCCTAGAGTGCCACCTGCTGGTAAAACCTAGCCTAGAGCGCCACCTGCTGGTAAAACCTAGCCTAGAGCGCCATCTGCTGGTAAAGACTAGCCTAGAGCGCCATCTGCTGGTAAAAACTAAGCTCAGAACTGATTCCAGTGGCAATCTAAGAATCGATCTATGAACACATTCGTCGTTCCAGCCCTAGCGACTAACATCAACCACTATGCAGACTGAACTCAAACAAGTTATTCAAAGGTCGTTTATGCTACTTCCATTTAGTATTGTGTGCCTTATTCATACGCTTTAGAGTTGCCCAGTTGATCTGCTGTCATTTATTACGGCTTATGCTAGGTGGTAATTCCTTGACTGCACACTGACCATGTTTTCACGGTTATGCTGAGTTCATTTTATAGCAGTGTTAACGGAAAAATTTCATTGCCTATAGTTTACACAAACTTAACCCGTCCTCTTTCAACTATGGTTGTGTGCGCTACATCCCTTCTTTGTCCTATAATATACTGGATTGCGCAGTTCATTCAACGTATGAGTGGGTTAGTACACGCATTCAGTGGCACATCAGACCTGTCAAGAGTCTGTTTGTGTCGAGCCATTTTCATTGATGAAATTAGCACTACCTTATCGGCTTTACTGGACAGGCTGAAGCCAACAATGGCAAGAGTATTAGTAGAGATGCATTCAGAGATATCAGTCTTCCCAATATTATTTGTTTATTTAGCGTAGACCTAATGTTGTAGCTTAGATGTACTGTAACATGTGTCTAATGTGATGATAAATATGTAAATATGTCAGTCGTTTGTCACTGTATTCAAATTGGTGAACTCAGTCGCCTCAGATCTTTGTTGTAAGATAGGAGGTAAACTTTGGTTTGATGCACAACACTTGGTACACTGATGGTGCGCAACATGTACTTTATGGAGTCCGCCAAAAGCGTGCAGATTTCGATCTGATAAAGGGTTCGTCATCAAAATGGCAGCCTAAAAAGGTGTGTTTTTTGCAAACTGATCTCGGAGAATTCAATCTGTATGATTAAAGAGAATAAAAAAACTAGTATTACTGCGTGTGTTTTATTATTTATTTACTTATATTGTGTGTGTGTGTGTGTGTGTGTGTGTGTGTGTGTGTGTGTGTGTGTGTGTGTCCTGCGTAACATGTTTGCACTCTAAAAAGCAAATACAGCACTTGGGTGGTGTCAAAACTGGTGTTTCCTCTGATATATAAATATAATTTAAAAGTGCACTGTATTTGAAGGTCACAGCGTTTTTCACTTTATCATCATTTCCTGTTATTATGGGCAGGAAAACGGGCAGGGAATCCAGCTATTTTGTTAGCTCATAGTTTTGACCTATATTTCCATCAAAGTTCTGGAAACATTATCATTTTATCTTGTGCAACCCAAATGTGAAGCATCTCTTAATAGTTTGCGAATGCCCCAAACATCCACTAAGAGTTGCTGAGAAAGTGTTGAAACGGATCTCTGCTGTGACTCTCCAGTTCACCAGTCACACTTCCTCAGGGGTCAAACTGGAAAGCTTTGGTTTGCAAGCCCAGATTCACAACCTGTGCACCTGACTATGACCAAATCACTTTAGTTTCAAAGTAGCTTCTACCATCCTGCATAATACACTTTAATTAAACAATTAATTTTAATTAGTAGCTGCATTCATTAAGTTGCTCTTTATTCTGAATTATCAATTTCATTCCCTTATTTCTACCCATAATGCATGGTCAGTGGTCAACTAGCAGGATAATTTTGTGAAAATAATTGAAAATTTTTATTTCTAATAATTGAACATTTTGAATTGTATATTAAACGGACAGAATAGTTACGGAAAAAATTAGTTTGACATTTACAGAAACTTTATTACTTGAGAAAGCTGTTCCTGTTATTCTCCTGGTGGTATTTTACAGGTAACCCAAAAAAGACAGAAATTATATATATATATATATATATATATATTTATATATATATATATATATATCTGTATATATATATATATATATGTGTGTGTGTGTGTGTGTATATATATTTATATGTATGTATATATATGTATGTATGTGTATATATATATATATATATATGTATGTATGTGTATGTATATATATATATATGTATATATATATATATATATATATATATATATATATATATATACAGTTGAAGTCAGAATTATTAGCCCCCTTTTGATTTTGATTTTCTTTTTTAAATATTTCCCAAATGATGTTTAACAGAGCAATGACATTTTTACAGTATGTCTGATAATATTTTTTCTTCTGAAGAAAGTCTTATTTGTTTTATTTTGGCTAGAATAAAAGTAGTTATTAATTTTTTTTAAAACATTTTTGGGACAAAATTATTAGCCCCTTTAAGCTAATTCTTTTTTGGATAGTCTACAGAACAAACCATCATCATACAATAATTTGACTAATTACCCTAACCTGCCTAGTGCACCTTATTACCCTAGTTAAGCTTTTAAATGTCACTTTAAGCTGTATAGAAGTGTCTTGAAAAATTTCAAGTAAAATATTATTTACTGTCATCATGACAAAGACAAAATACACCTGTTATTAGAAATAAGTTTTTAAAACTATTATGCTTAGAAATGTGCTGAAACAATCTTCCCTCCATTAAACAGAAATTGGGGAAAAAAATAAACAGGGTCGCTAATAATACAGGGGGCTAATAATTCTGACTTCAACTGTATATATATATATATATATATATATATATATATGTATGTATGTATATGTGTATAACATATTTGTGTGTATATATATTTATATGTATGTATATATTTATATGTATGTATATATTTATATGTATGTGTATATTTACATGTGTGTGTGTGTATATATATATATGTGTGTATATATATATATATATATATATATATATATATATATATATATATATATATATATATATATATTATTTATATATATATTTATATATATATATTTATATATATTATTTATTATTAATTAACATGTTGACAGTGCTTTAAGTCATACTTAAAGGAATAGTTCACCTAAAAAATTAACAATACTCACCCTCAACTAGTTCCAAAACTTTGATTTTCTTCTAATGAACACAAATAATATATATATTAAATAATATTATATATATATATATATACACACACATCACTGTCAACATGTCTGTTGATTTTTTAACTTTCAGTATTAATTTAATCCCTCACAAAACCTGTAACAATTTTTTTTTATATATATTCCAAGAGAAATCTGTAAAACTGAACAGCTACCTTTTATTTTCAGCAAAAACCTCTTGTTCCCAACAACTACAGATGATCATAAACAGCGCATTGAAAAACAAAATCTAGTTCATATACTTGAATTGTGTTTACCTTTTGTAAAAGTAGTGCTTGTACGACAGTAAGGGTCTCCTGTTACACTCTTCTGTTCCTGTGGGAGGTCCAGTGGATTCAGGTGCACCTCCACTTCATCAACTGGACTAGTTGGTTTCACTCCTTGAAGGAATCAACAGGCACAAGTGAAACCAGTGAGAATGAGCAGTTAATCAGTTACGAATAAACAGCAGACCACCAAATGAAATATTGTGACAAGTCAACAAGCCGTCTAAATAATATGCCGATGTCCACAACACTGCTGGATGAAGAACAGACCATTCTTTTTGCCAGTACGTTTACCAGTTTAACTCATGAACATGGAGACAGAAAAACTAGAGAGACCTCTGTAAGTACACACTTAACTATTTTCTGTAGAATTTACAGTAACGTACAGTGAATCAATTACAGGAGAAATACTGTATTTACATTTACAGCACCATTTATCTTGCTGCATGCAGAATTGTATGTATATATCTTTACAGTAAAAAAAAACTTTAAAATACAGTAGCATACTGCATAACTGTTCTACAGTAAAGTACAGTTCATTTCACAGTTCACTGTCATTTACAAAAGCTGTGTAACAGTTAACAGTGTAGTTTATTTATTTTTTTGCTGTCGTGTCTTTTAGATG